CCCTATTTATGATAATTCTTACCCAAAATCATTATTTTCACCAAAAAAAACCTTAAACTTCTCCAATTCTGAACTAACATTCCTTGTGTACTGGGGGGAAAATTATTTTTTTTTAAAGTAAGTAATTATATATTCATGAAATATAACAAAAACTTACAAAATCAAGTGTTTCAGGAGAAATTATTCAGAAACCTTCAAAACTAGAGGTTGTGGGAATATTTCCCCCCAACTCTAAAAAATATAAAAAATAAAAGGAAAAGGAAAGGAATGGAAAGTTACATATTTAATATATTTAATATAGCTGGTGGTGGATTGTTAGCATTTTTCGACGATGAACTAACAACTTTAAAAAATAAAAATGATAGATTTATTTGTAATGTTAATAAAAATAAAATAGGCTTTGGGAGTTTTGAAAAAGATATAGGTTCTACGCAAAACGGGCATTTTTAAGCAGCTTTTTAATTCGCGCCGATTTGGACATCCATTATGTTTGATTATTAAAGGATTTATTTAGAGATGGGGGTGGTTGAATGATTTTCAAGAAAATATATTATAGTTGTAATATTATTAACTTCAATGCACTATTTGGCAGTGCTTAGGATCCGAATCCGTTGGATCCGCAAGATTTTGGCTTCCTGGATTCGGAGCCGCAAAAAATCCGGATCCAAGGGGTAAAATATCAACCAAAACCTGCAAAAAAAAACTTCATTACTCCTAAACCCCAATTCTGAACTTTTGAAAAAAGAGAGATTATAAAAATTTCCTCATTTCTGAATGGTTACTCAAGTTTTAGGCTAAAAACAAGCGAAAAAAATAAAACAAAAAATTTGAAAATTATTTTGTGTTAAAAAAACAGTAAATCTTAAAGAAATGACCTGGAACCGGATCCGGATCCTGATCCATTTTTTTCAGTGCGGATCCAGGATCCGGATCCGGATCCGCATCAAAATTAAATGGATCCTAAGCACTGCTATTTGGTATTAGTTCTAATATTAACTGAATCCAAACTGCAATCTTATGATAAAATAAGATTTGATATTAGCACAAAATACGAGAAATTTAACATTTTCCTCGTAATAATTTTAATTTCTCATCGATTAAGGTACACATCCATCTTAATGTGAATATTGTACAGTCTTGTGTGTGTATGTGGAAGAAAACTACTTTAAAGATCATAAACCTGATAAATAGAAAATCCAGAATCAGATTCGCAGGAGCATCTCATTATCTGATTCAAAACCTCCTGAACCAACTCACATTTTTAATCAAAACTTATTTTCTTTAAACTTAAATCGATTTAGTAATAAATCTGCAGACTGACTGGTTTAGTCTCCTTCCTCTTATCAATATTACCTACAGTCAAAGTATCATGTCCTAGGCAATGTTACGTTGATCTCCAGGGTCGAGCTCCAGCCACTTACCCGTGTACGCTTGGTTCGTAATGGATCATATCGGGTTTGAATTTTGTTTAGGACTCACTGTGTACTGCGTAATGCGTATGCCCGATAAGTAGAACAAGGCAGACCATTTTACCCAAGGATTTAATACAAGGAAAGTTATTTCAGAGGTGTACGCATCTTTTGTACTGCAGTGTACGGTCACTGGGCGGTAATGTAAACACAAGACGGATGTCGAAGCCTTACATGGGATCCATCTTTCACATAAATAATCAATGAAATATTCTGGTCATGTGAAACTCTTATGTGAATTATCAAAATTATCAAAATTCAATGCTTTTAACCTCCTCTGATACTAAACAAACACTGAGGCATCTATTCTTGCTTACAAATTCCGCCCAGAGAGAACTGGTTTCAATATGTACGCAGAGTATACGCAACTGCAATTAACTTTCCTTTCATTACATTCTTGATTTTACCCATGGTTACGCTTCGGTGAAGAGGAACGCCGACCCCTATGTCATTGAATGATGGGTTGTCCGCGCGATACTAATAATAATATTGTGAATGGCTCAATAGAAAATAAATCAATAATTATTTTGAGTTTCACAATTTCTCATCTCCAATCAAAATAAATTTTGAAAAAAACTTGGCGGGAATATCAGGATCAGGATCTGAAAGTTATTAATTAAAAAACTACTAACGAATCAGTATTTAGTTTTTTAGGAACTTCTCATCATAGTAAATAGTCAGGTATAGAAAAAAAACATTTCGAAAAATGCTCCGACGCCGAATTTATTTATATCTATATTTTTTTTAAGAAAAAATTGCTCAAGTGCGTTAAAAAATAAAAAATGAGAGTTTCCTTTAGACAGTAAACATCAATGATACGATAAGTGCCCGGAACAGTTCCTATCTCGGAGTAAGGTTTGGACATTTTCTCTGCAAGATCAAAGTTGAGTAAACTGCAGTTTAATCATCAGCTCCAGCCTGTGATGCAACAAATCCTGTCTGTCTTTTTCAGCCACTTCCACACTTTCCTGCCAGTTAAAATGGGGTGAATATTTTTAGGAAATTTGAAAAAATGTTTTTTCTTTGTTACAATAGGACACATAAACCTGTAGCATATGAAAACGACATTTTATTATTTTTATGTATATTTGGTGTTGTTGTAGAGATAATAATTGTCCCAGTGTAACTCTATTAAGTTAAATTGTTCTGGAAACCCTCCTAAATTGCATTATTAATCCTCATTGGACTTTTTTAAAATCATAAATTGAGTCTAACAATCGTCTTCCTATTCCACATTGTAATGGTCTCACTAAACGTTACTAGTTCGAGTCCCATCTATTATGTTTCCCTCCCGTTAATTAGTTTTTTAAAGATTGCCCTTAACATTTCATAAGGACAGTCGTCAAAAATATTATCAAATAAGAAAATAATAATCAGTAGATGTTTTTTGTTTAGAAACGAAGTTAAAGAACTTTTTTCAACCACTGGTTTGATGAAACCTGACCTCACCATCATATATTTTAGGATTCATTCCATTTTTGTTTTAGAATATATCTCTTTGTAATTAGGTTTAACCTGGAGATGAAGACAATAATCTCTCGCTAAGATAAGAGTATCATTCATACTCATTCTCCTGGTTGGAGAAGGTTTAGGGAGAAGTTTACGCAACCTCTCCAGTTCTATGGATAATACTACACGACGCTCTCGCTCTTTGTAACAGCGGTCAGGTCGAGTTTGAAGGGTGGAAGGACGGAGAAGGACAGGTTGCAGGATCCAGTTTTTAGGATCAGCATACCGCGCAGAGGGAGCGTTCATCAACCTTATTTATATTTTTATAAGTTTAGTACTTTTTAGCCCGTGGATAGATTTCTGCAAATTTCACTGTCTTTGCTGCAAAAATCTGCTTCCAACTTTAATAAATCAAATCAAATCAACCCCCAATTGAAAAATGTCAATTTTTAGATAAATAAATGAAATGTTTGCACAATAAATTAACTAAGGTACCGTTATGAATCAGAAATGAAACTCTTGAAATATCGTCACAGTCAATTAACTAAGGTACGTTATGAGTCAGAAATGAAACTCTTGAAATATTGTTAACAGTTTGTAACATATATTTTGTTACCTGAGACTAGATTTTAAAGAGAAGAATTCATCACCAATAACTGGATTATCTAAGCAGATCTCCAGATCTTCTTTCATTAGACTAGATGAGTTGTAAAGATCGCAGTTGCTGGGAACCAAAGAATTGGTACCGGAGTTCATTACATTCCTTGATCTATCCAGGAACAAGGATTGAGGAGAAGTATTAAAACCTTTATCGTAGTCAATCTGTTGTTGGAGCTCATTAATATCTTCCTTAGATACATCGCTAGTTAATGGTTTGAAGAGAATATCTAACTCCGGCCTGAAAACATCTCTGGTAGTTTTGAGCTTCATTTTATACATATTTCCGTGAATATCTGGTGCATTGCTGTTCATGCGTTCTTCTGGTTCGATTATACCCAAATCTTCACAAGGTTCTTGTCCAATGTCAATGTTTAAATTGTTGCCAACGCTAATACTTAAAACTTCCCAAATGGGCTGAGAAACATGGTTCCTAGTCTCTCCTTCCACTAGAAACCCGCTAATATTTCCGGGCATTGAGTCTGTCCAATCATCAGAGGACATTTTACATGATCTTGTCTTTCTGAAAAATAATCTAATCTAATCCCGAACTGCTAAATCAGCTCCTTTCTCCTTTTTATTCTCAAGTTTTGCGATTCTGCTACCGAACTGAACAGCTCTCTTCGGCTCCCTGTTAAAGAAATAAAATTGTCAAGATTATTAAAAAAAAACTAGATAAGGACAACAAGTGACCCCTTACCGGCGTCCTCCATCTGCAATTTTGACTGTAAATGAAAAATAATTAAAAATTGTTTCCTTTCTGAAGTAAAAAGTTCAAACAGAAGAAGAAAATTATACGCGTGAAAAGTTAAAGTTACCACCCCCCAGGCTTTTTCAATTTTTTTCTATCGATGAAAATTATAAAAAAATTCATTCCCGGCAAAATAAAATCCCCAAACAAAAGGAGAAAATGGCGTGTAAGAATATTTTGAAAATGAGTTTTAAAATCCTAACAATTTCTAGGTTTCCTTGCAGTTTTCACTAGTCCGAGTTTGTGCGCTGCAAGACGGAGAACCAACTTCTCTCCGATCCCCCGAGGAAGGTTCAAGTTGCACTTAATCTCTGTATCCAGGCTGCTCAGATAACTGACAACATTCTCATCCAAGAACGGAAACCTGGCCGCTACTCCGTGATCACTCACCTGTAAATATAGATTATAAATATTAGAGATGAATTGAATCTACAGGTTCCAATCTAGATCTGCTCTACCGTGACCAATCTTAAAATAGATTTGGAATAATCTGTGGTCACAATATCAACAACATCTTGATACAGGGTGTACCAAAACCATGCAAACTTATTACGACATCATAGAAATATATAAAATAACTAGTTAAGCATAAAAACAGATTATACCGATTAACACTTTTCAAAATGTGATATGCATATGGATTTAAAGAAGTGAACTATTCACCGTGGTTTTTGAGACACCCTGTAAAATTTTATTTTTGCTAAAAACTTACAATTCTGTTATCGCGACCCAGGTTTCTCTCCGATATTCTTAATAATTCCATTCTCAGTTCATCCTCTAAACCCGGCAGTCCTTCTCGCAGAAACCGTGATCTAGAGAAATGTAGTTCGTACTCAGTTTCTCACAAATTTGTTATTCCATCTACAAAACTAATCCATTTTGTTCAGTTTTTAGCTAATAGGAAAAAACTGAAATTTGACAAGAACTTCTGATGGACGAAATCTTTCGCTGAATTGGGGAAATTAAATGATTTTTTTCAGGAAAAATAATCGAATTAAAAAGTATTAAAAAGAATGACTATTATTGACTAAACTTGCCTTTCGATGTCCCATTTTTTAACCCCCCCCCCCATTCATCCAAAATAATTTTATTGAAAAAATAGGAAACACATTTTAAAAAGAAGTTTCCAATGAAAAGTATCCGAACCTATGTCTAGAATAACCTCCAAGCTGTTCATCAATACCCATCCCAGCCAGGAGAACTCTACACGGAGATAAATAATCCTTCCCCTCAACCTTTCCTGAACCCTGAGCTGCGAACCAAATTGCACTTCCTGAAGAAAAAAACTGATTTTACAAAAAAATCGTAAATCTTCACTCATCGATTAAAGGGACTGTCGGCGTATTTTCCCTGACAGTCCCTTTATAAACATAAACTTACCAATACTATCGTCGAGCACAGTGTTGAGAGGATTCAACAAATCCAATATGGTTTCCTTCCTCACTCGTTGAAGTTCAGTTTTATCTATATTGATTTCAACTAAACGGAAACTAAACCCGGGCAGATTCTCTCTCATCTCCTGGAACAAACAACCTAAGTGAACTGTAGATTGAAGAAAAATAATAGAATTCTTGCATCATTTTTAACTCAAAGGAACTCGAAAAATCATAAATAGTTAAACTGGTCATGAACTCAAATTCGAGAAAAACTAACCATGCTCCAGATGTTAAACTTATTTATATTTCTTAAATATCTAAATACTGTATACTCGAGAATATTATAATTTCTGATAAGTTCTTAAATGAAATGTATCATTTTACTTTTAAGAAAATAGATCTTCTTAAATCTCTTATAAATTTTGCCACTTAATTCCGGTTCCATCGTACGATATAATTCAAGAAAAATTCAGTACCTAGATAGCCTGTAATCCTATGCTTATATTCCGAACCTGAAAACTGCAGTGTTTACGCTAGTACCTGGAGAGTCTGCAATCCTGTGCTTCTATCCGGAACCTGAAAACTGCAGTGTTTAAGCTATTACCTGGAGAGCCTGTGCTTCTATCCAGAACCTGGAAACTATAGTGTTTAAGCTAGTACCTGGAGAGCCTGTAATCCTGTGCTTCTATCCGGAACCTGGAAACTGCAGTGTTTAAGCTAGTACCTGGAGAGCCTGTAATCCTGTGCTTCTATCCGGAACCTGGAAACAACTCTCCGTACCTCCAAAAGCAACGTTCAGCAAATCCAGACTCCTGGTAATATCTGCATAAATAACAGTCCTTTAAATGATTGCAATGAATTACCGGGGTTCCCACAAAAAAAGAGACTAAAAAATTACAGAGACTGATTTTAACTTATTCTGTTTTCTTTACTTAAGGTTATTAAAACTTATTGGGATTTAACCTTCAGATAAGAGTAAGTCGTTATTAAATCTAACTCTATGTGAACTATAGAAAGTTTATAAAAAGGAGTTGCCCCTACCTATTCTCCTGTTTAAGAATAGTTGCTGCAAGTAAAGCTAGGACGGCTGAATCCAACCCACCAGAGAATAGAACTCCAACACAAGGATGGTCACATTTCTCCGCAAACTAAACACAAGGATGATCACATTTCTCCGCAAACTAAACACAAGGATGATCACATTTCTCCGCAAACTAAACACAAGGATGATGAAAAGAAAGATCTCTTGGTTCCTTGTCAGAAACTGAAGAGTTTGATGAGAGGCTTTGCAGTGCTTCGCAGCACTGTCGGTTGCACCACGTGAAGGCTCTCTCTATTACCATTTGAGAATTCTAATGAACATTCACATTGTTCTTTCTTATTAAGTTCAGTTTTTAAAGCCCTGAAAGGAACTGTAGACTTAACTAAGATTCACGGGATATTCAAGTCATTTTCATGGAGTTCTCCCGAACACTCCAGTTTCCTCGCATAGTTTGTACATCATTTTCATGGAGTCCCACCGAACACTCCAGTTTCCTCGTATAGTTTGTACATCATTTTCTTGGAGTTCCGCCTGAACACTCCAGTTTCCTCGCATAGTTTGTAAATCATTTTCATGGAGTCCCACCGAACACTCCAGTTTCCTCGCATAGTTTGTACATCATTTTCATGGAGTCCCACCGAACACTCCAGTTTCCTCGTATAGTTTGTACATCATTTTCTTGGAGTTCCTCCCGAACACTCCAGTTTCCTCGCACAGTTTGTACATCATTTTCATGGAGTCCCACCGAACACTCCAGTTTCCTCGTATAGTTTGTACATCATTTTCTTGGAGTTCCTCCCGAACACTCCAGTTTCCTCGCATAGTTTGTACACATCATTTTCTTGGAGTTCCTCCCGAACACTCCAGTTTCCTCGCATAGTTTGTACATCATTTTCATGGAGTCCCACCGAACACTCCAGTTTCCTCGCATAGTTTGTAAATCATTTTCATGGAGTCCCACCGAACACTCCAGTTTCCTCGCATAGTTTGTACATCATTTTCATGGAGTCCCCCCGAACACTCCAGTTTCCTCGCATAGTTTGTACCTACTGTTTTAAGCGACAAAAATGAAAGCCGTCTTTGAAAGTTACAATTGTGAATCGGAAATGCCAGTCGACAATGGGAGGTATGTTGAAATGACATCTATAGTCTAAAATTTACAAGAATAAAATGAACAATTAAAGAAATATTAATAAGAATAAATGTTTCTGGTAAATTAAAGAACTAAATATAAAGGATGCCACTCTATAAATTAGAGGTCACTTGAAATTAGATTTAACAATCTAAAACTTTTACCTTAAAAGAATAAAATAGAAAATATAAACAATGAACAAGAATGATTAGAATATAAGTATCTTGTAAAAGAAAACTGAATATTAAGGATGCCACTCTATAAATGAGAGGTAACTAGAAATTATGTGTTCATTCTAAAACTTTAACCTTAACAGAATAAAATTTATAAATAATATTCATTAGAATATAAGTATCTCGTAAAAAAGCATACCTATATATATATATAAATAAATAATTATATGTATACAACGAATGACCTAGATTACCTGAATACAGTCCTTGCATCTCCCCGGCTGCAGTTCTATTCTTATTCTTACAGCCTCCATCAGTTGATGAAGCAACTCAGATACAATAATATCAATCACAGGGTTCAAGAGTAGAGTCTCTAGAACCAGTTCAGGATCTAAGGTTGGATTCAAGTTGACCTTCTCCGGGTTGTTACTGATCAGTCGAACTGGACAGGATAAACTGAACCCTGTTAGCTCCGGTTCGTAACCGTCCTGAGGTAAGCAATCCCAAGGGAAAAGAACAGGTTTATCAGTTGGATGATGCAGGTTGAGTTTATAAATCCCGTCTGCTCGAACCTCGTTAAATTTAAAGGTTTCATCCGTCGGAGTAACAGAACTTAAGATTAAACCAATCTTACTCTGATGAATTAACAAGCTTTGGCGTCCGAAAAAATCTCGTCCGAACCAAAGAATATTTTTCTTTTTGTCCCAGAATACACAGGCCCAAGGTCCCTGAATACTTTGAAATACATTTATCACTTCATTATCCGTCCTACATTCACTTAACTTGGAGAAGATAAAATCAGTATCTGATGAACCTGAAGCTAGTTGTGTATCATCATATTTAAAAACATCTCCGTTCCACATTAGAAGATGATCCTCCGTGGATTTAGGCTGCTCAACAACATCCTCCCCCTGGAATATATACTCAATCTAACCAGGATATTTTTTAGAAAACTTCTGTCTACAATTCAAAACTGTTCTTTTCAAATCTTTATCCAGGTTTGATTTAACCCAGACCAACCAACTTTTTCAAACGTTTATACAGGTTTGATTTAACCCAGACCTAACAACCAACTTTTCAAACCTTTATCCAGGTTTGATTTAACCCATACTTAAAAACCAACTTTTCAAACCTTTATCCAGGTTTGATTTAACCCAGACCTAACAACCAACTTTTCAAACCTTTATCCAGGTTTGATTTAACCCAGACCTAACAACCAACTTTTCAAACCTTTATCCAGGTTAGATTTAACCCAGACCTAACAACCAACTTTTCAAACCTTTATCCAGGTTTGATTTAACCCAGACCTAACAACCAACTTTTCAAACCTTTATCCAGGTTTGATTTAACCCAGACCTAACAGCCAACTTTTCAATCCTTTTTCAAAGTTTAAACCAACCCAGAGCTAAAACTAGAAAGTTTCCGTACTTTGTATACAGTTTCAAGGTACTACTGTGGATCTTTGATGACGCACTTTGACTAAGGTGTTATTTAAAATAAAGTTAACAATCTCTAAATACTGAAATACATATTGCGAATTTTTTTTATAAACCTTAGACTAACCTGGAGCCAGAGCACTGAGCTGTAAACCCGAACCTTATCCAGGTCAAGGAAAGACTGCTTGTCCGGACCACGCCTATAATTCATTTGTCAAATCTCAAATCTCAAATCTCAAATCTCAAATCAAATCAAATCAAACCGTCAAATCAATTTAGTCAAGTAAAAGTTGAATATACAAAATATGAAAGATGATTTTAAATTTCATACCTTTTTATCATGCAAATACATTTAGCTTCAAATATCCGATAATCCTCTCGAGTAGACCCGTCCCCAATATAGAAATAAATTCCGCACATTTCAGTTTAACATTTTATCTGAAGAAAAAATTGTTCGAATAAACTAGAATCAATAAGAAATAAGGATATTGTCTAGTTTTTATATTAAAAAATCTATTTTATATTAGTAAAACATAAAATAACAATATGACTCGTTTTTTTCATCTTCAATTTTGACGTATTAGGTAGCTGGAAAGGGGGGGTTTCAAAACATACAAAATTAATATTATTGAGAGATATAAATAAAAATTTTATATTTAAAGAATGGCGTCTAGAGGTCTGTTGAACCCTCCTTTTCTATTCATGTACTGTCTATATTTCCTCTTGCTATGAGTATGGATAGCTCCGGAGTCATTGTTCTCAACCTTCTTGTTCTTGGTTGTGTTGAACCCGGAGAAACCCATGATCTTCATCATATCAATCTCATCCTAGACACAGTTTCATCAGAGCTGGAAAGTTTTGAATGGAAAGAATGATAACAAAAAAAAGATACTTTAAAAAAAAATTTAAATCTATTTTAACATTCCAAGGTATCAAAATTTAGAAAATTGTTACATCTGTACAGCATCTTAAAAAAAACGAATTTTACTAGTGGAAGTAATGTTCGGTAATTTCTTAGAGAACGATTTTTGGACCAACCCCCTCCCCCCGCATTATATCAGTTTTGTACATGCATCTCATATTGAACACATGAATAAAGTTGGTCATGTGGCCGCAGCGCCAGGCATCCCTAGCCTGTAATAGCCGCAGCGCTCGCCCCCTAGCCTGACTTAGCCGCAGCGCTCGGTTCAGTAAGTGTCTTAACCTAACCTATCTTAAAATATATACTAATATTGTTGTAAAATCGATAAAAAAAAATGATGTACAAAATTGATAGGAGTGGGGGCGGGGGGTCCATAAATCGTTCTCTAGGATAGACCCTAATGTTCAATATATATAGTTTTTATGCAAAAAGATTTTTTTAATTTTCCATATGGACTCAATCAAAACAATTTTGTGTCTTGCTCAAGCTGACATATTTCAAAATAAGAAAAGCAAAATTGAGTGTCTATAATAACAAATATGATATGTGATGTGTTGAAAAGAAAAATTATTTGTAAACAACTTAAATAGATTACCTGAGTTTTCCCTTCCGTATCTTTCTCAGTTAGATATTTCATTGCTGGAGGAGGGACGGGTAGGACAGGTTTAGGACCAACAGGACGCTCACGAGATCGAACCCGTTCTCTTTTCCTGTCCCGAGAATCATCTCGGTCTCGTCGACGTCTCTCCCCCCTATCCCTGGACTTGGATCTCCTTCGTCTAGGTGACCTACTCCTACTCCTGCTACGAGGCATATTTTATCAAATCTGAAAATACTGTTTTGTGAAAGATTTTCGATTCTCCACGTTTTACTAACCATCAACAAACATTGTTATATTTCGCTGGTTCAAGACTATATACTGATGACGCACTTGCTACGAATGATTACCGTCATGAGTCATAAAGAGCAACTCGCTATATTATGATTTATGCATAAAAATGAAAGGAGAGAAGGGGAAAACCGGTGGGAGCTGGGACAGTCACTGGTTCTGTTTACTGTTGACTCAAAGCTCCGTTCCGCGTTCTATTCTCAACCGTCCTAAATCCACCAAAACATTAAAATTAATGAATTTTTGAGTTATCAATTTCTATCGTAAAAATCAATTAAGCGTGACATTTAATTACATAATTTTGCACAAACGGACTGTCAAAAATGCCACTTAAGCAATGTTTATGTTTTTAAAAAATATTTGCTCTGAAGACGACATTGGTTCTCCGGTTCCAAGCCAACTCCGTCAAGGTTGAATGCTCCCGGAGCACGCAAATATTGGGAGAAACATGAACCAAGACCTAGATTCACTAGATCTAATATAACAGGGATAAATACTAGCTTCTTAAGTTGAAAAAATAATAGATCTAAGAAGTTGAACTTATTCATTCAATTAATTGACAACTTTTTTCAATAAATTTAAAATCTCTCTCCCCCTCCCCCCCCATCCCTCTTTCCATACCAACGGCGCACGTTCCACAAATGATATCTGTTGCAGTAAAGCAGAAAATCTCATTTTCAAAATCAGAAACCATAACAAAGTTTACAACAGGGAGTTAAAATTGCGCATTTTTCATGGGTTTAATAAAACATACATTTGTATCATTAAAACAAAATAAGAACGCAAGCTGATCTGTGTCTTAGTTTACGAATTTTTAAAGTCAATTGTAAGATATGAGTTTCCACCTGCTAATGACAACTGGCAGGTGTTTGAACTGGATTAAACCAAAACAAACAAAATGTATGACAACCAAAGCGTAAATTAGAAGATATCACGCCTTATTCGATTCATTCGACACGTTCCTCTAAACTTATGGCAATGCCCGATTCACGTCGGTCCCCTTGAAATCTTTATCTGATTAATTCAAAATCTAAACTGAAAGGGATTATTAAATGCCAGAAAAAGTGTATCAGAAATATTAGTAGAAATACATATAATGCAAATATACTGACTCTATTTTCAAGAAACTTGATATCCTCAAGTTTAATGATCTCTTTGAATTCAATTGTAATATATTTATGCATTTATTTTATCATGGAAGGCTGCCTACTTACTTTTCTAATATGTTCCAGAAATCAATTTCGACTAGAAGAAATAACATTGTTACAAAACTTTGTAAGAAATCTAGTTTACATAAATTTCCAACCCATTTTCTACCAAAACTGTGGAATTCACTAGAAAATGACTTTAAATTCTTGAATCAAAATCCTCATTTAAAAGTTCACTGTATTCAAATTATATTTTATCTTATTAAACTTGATTGCCAACTGAATCGGCTTGTCCCAAACCCTACTGCTCCATAACTAAAAGTATTCATTATTTTAATTTACTCCACTCTGTCTCTGTATTCAAGGAATCGCTAACCACCATGCACAGTATCTGGTATATCTCATCGCTCAATAGTACAGTCTAAAAAAGAACAAATAAGAACAAATTTTTGGGCTAGTTTATACAGTCTGAAGACTTTCTAGTCCGCAAACAGTGTCTGTAATTGTAAATATGTAATATATCACTGATTTTATTCCATGACCATAACTTGTACATACATTGTTATCGTTTAACCTAATTTAACTAATTTGAAATATACATTATTATTATTATTATAATATTGTGGAAGAAATGGTCGTTTTTCTAGGTTTGAAAATTCTGAAAATTCCTGGATGTTTTCCTGAAGTAAAAATGCTCAAGGAGCTCTAGTCACTTATGTAGATAAGCCACAAATGAAAATAATCAGTGGGATATCTAAATTAAACTTGATCAGACCCTTGAAATCAAGCTTACAGTCCCTTGAAATCAAGCTTAAATTGTCCCTTGATATCAAGCTTATAGTCCCTTGATATCAAGCTTATAGTCCCTTTAATTCAAGCTTACAGTCCCTAGGAATAAATCTTCCCTTTCCTTGGAATCAAGCTTCCAGTCCTATGAAATCAAGCTTACAGTCCCTTGAAATAAAGCTTCCAGTAACTTGAAATCAAGCTCATAGTCCCTTGAAATCAAGCTCATAGTCCCTTGAAATCAAGCTCATAGTCCCTTGAAATCAAGCTAGTCCCTTGAAATCAAGCTCATAGTCACTTGAAATCAAGCTTTCAGTCCCTTAATTCAGCATTCCTCGAGACATCTCAAAAGCTTTGCAGAAATTGCCCTTTCAGGTTGGAATTGAATCTCAAATCTATATATAAATTTGGCTTGTCTGTCTGTTTGTTTGTATCCAATAAACGTCAAAACTGCTGAACCGATCGGGCACAAATTTTTTGTGGGACATCACGTGACCACAGGGAAGGTTTATGTATGATAAAAAAAAATTTTTAAATGTGTTTTGAGGTTTTTAATTTTGTAAAAAAAATTTGAATTCTTGAAAATCCGCGAATTTTTTTTAAAATCCTTAAAATTTTTTTCTTGTTTGTTATAAAATAACAAAAAGAACATGTTCACAATTAAAATAGAAGATGGGCGCGAAGCGCCATGAATTTCTAGTTTGTAATATTTTACGGATTTTAAAATACAGTTGAAGGTTTACATTAAATGTTTAACAAGATCCCCATTCAATTATCATTATTTGAAAATTTTTTTTTTCTAATGTAGAAAACATTCACCGGCATAATATAACATTTGGCTACAAGAACAAAAAAGGTGAATAATATATGATGGAAAAGAAACTAAATATATACAGACAAACATGATTCACCAAAAACAATCGTTTAAAAAATCAGATCATTGTTAAAATAATTTAGGGGTTAATCTAGGATTTATCAGAGGCCGTTCCTTCAATAAACTACATTGGTCGACAACTTGACGTCTCCTAAATTGGTCGTCAAGTGTACGGAGAAATTATCTATCTATCAGATAAGAATTCAGAGTAAGACATCTAGCGGCCAGCATATCCTCCCCCAAATTACATGAACTACACGACCACTATCTATAGAGAGAACGGGCTCTGAGTGAGCATTGTACATGTACATGTACAATTTACATGTATACAGTGTACACACATTACAAAGAAAATATGACGCATAAAATCTGCCCCAAAATCTTTAATAAACCCCTGTAACCAATTAGAATCCTAGAATCAAGTGCTTCGGAAAAGCTCAAACTTTAATAATACTGTTTACACTTAATATATTTAACTGTTTGTACATAATAGTAGATTTGAGCAATATTTTACCAGAAATTTAACCGTTGTAACGTTTATAGTTAACGAGAAAACTTTTCTTCAGAAGATTTTTAAAAGTTTAAAGAATATTTTTACAAAATATGTAGATTACAAGTTTCAACATTCATAGAACTATCACAAAAGTTCGGAAATATTTTAGGTACTTTTTTGTGATGGACGGTTTAGATTTTTTCATTTGGTTGTTTCATCGGAGTCATCAGAGTTCGTCATGAGTATTCCTTGGCCGAGGGTATCCCCAGAATCCTGAAGGAAGACCCTCGACATCCCGGGACCGTTTAACAAACGCGGAGAAGGATGAAATACAGTTTCCAATAAAGAAGTTGCTCCGGGATAGGATTGCCAGATCTAGGTGGGGTATTGAGTCCCCTTCATCCTGATGATGAAGAGACACGCCTAGGTTCTTTAACTTCTCAGAGAGGAGCCGAACCATGAAATCGTTATCACTAGCGATAAATATCGCCACAGCTCCCACCTTCTTCACAGCCTTCTTGATCTGTTTAACGATAGTGGAGTCAGATGGGATACAGAGTTCCTGATATAGTTCTCCGTTTTCATTTCTATACCCGAGGCATTGTGGAGAGGAGAAGAGATGATTACTTGAAGATATATGCTCGCAGGCTTTATCCCAATCCATCCCGTTCCTCAGATGAATTCCGACAAACGGACCTTTAGGTAGATTCCTCTTCACCCAGTTCTCTGCTAAACCTCGCCAGAACTCATTAAACACCACAAACTCCTGGAGCTTAACGTTATCCAGTTGAACCGGAAATGATGCTGGAGCTCCGGTAAACGCTAGAACAGGAAACTTCTCCGGAGGATAGTTCCGGTTCCAAACAGTTCCGGCATCCTGGTGATACACGTCGTAGGACAGAGGGCCGTACATCTCACTCCGGTCGAAACTAACGTTGTAGGTGTCCCAGAACGGTCCGAAGGGGTTGCCATCTTTTGCGTTACAAGACTGCTCTATAGGTCCTCTTCTTTCACCATAGCAGAACGATATTCTTTCTCCCGGCGGCCAAACGCTGCCGGCCAGGTGGTCGAAGAAGTACTCCATCGTGACAACCCTATGAAATTCTGAGACTTTTGTAATATTGAAATAAGAATCAAACGGAACCATTACAGATCCTCTTCGTCCTGTCTGATACTCAATCCATGGAGGGAGAACAAGGGTCCGATCTAAACCCTTAGCAAAGCCAAGAGACCCAAGAAAGTGATCAGCTTGGTTCCCAAATCTGCCCATACAAGGACAGTACATGACATAACCCTGGGGATCAGGGTTCGAATCCTGTGTTCCAACACAGACTGGGAGAATGTATAGGACCGGGAGAAGGAGATAAACACCAACCAACCCGGGCACCCGGATCATTTTTAAAAAATCTGCAATTAGATAAATGAGGACAATGGACAAGAATACAAGTATAAGACATTGTAACATAAGTTTATTGTAAATAATTTAGGAATTGACTAGAGACGTGAGAGCAGCGACAACATCTCCGTCATGCTCGCGTAGACAGCGGTCCGCACGCTCCTTGCTCAGCTCCATCTCGGCAACTATTAACTCTATGTCCTCTTTGTTCACGGTTACCTGAAAGATTTTCTGTTTACTCATAGAAAATAAGATTCTTTAATATGTCTGGTTGATCCAATTGATGAATATTAGCACATCAAATGGGGCTTCTAACTTATTTTTAAAATGCCACAAGGCTATTTTTTTCTCTCAAAAAAATTTTATGGAAAAGATTCAGAATTTTTTTCACCTTTGCCAGCTCTCGTTCCCTGGCAAGTTTCTCCGCAGTTTTCAGAGCTTGTTTGTTCCTAATTGCAGTAATGGCATCCTCAAGCTCATTTCCGGTAGATAAAATCTCCATCTCCTCAGCATAATCGGTAACCTAGAAACATAACCGCTAACCTAGAGATATAATCAGTAACCTATAGATGCACTTAATCGGTAGCCTAGAGATATAATCGGTAACCTAGAAACATAACCGCTAACCTAGAGATATAATAGGTAACCTAGAGATATAATCGGTAACCTAGAAACATAACCGGTAACCTAGAGATATAATAGGTAACCTTGAGATATAATAGGTAACCTTGAGATATAATAGGTAACCTAAAGATATAATGGTAACCTAGAGATATAATCTGCAACCTTGAGATATTATAGGAAACCTAGAGATATAATCGGTAACCTAGTAGAAACATAACCGGTAACCTAGAGATATAATAGGTAACCTAGAGATATAATCGGTAACCTAGAGATATAATCGGTAACCTAGAAACATAACCGGTAACCTTGAGATATAATAGGTAACCTAGAGATATAATAGGTAACCTAGAGATATAATCGGTAACCTTGAGATATAATAGGTAACCTAGAGATATAATCGGTAACCTAGAAACATAACCGGTAACCTTGAGATATAATAGATAACCTAGAGATATAATCGGTAACCTAGAAACATAACCGGTAACTTAGAGATATAATAGGTAACCTTGAGATATAATAGGTAACCTAGAGATATAATCGGTAACCTAGAAACATAACCGGTAACCTAGAGATATAATAGGTAACCTTGAGATATTATCGGTAACCCAGGGATAAAATCGGTAACCTAGAGCTTTTATAATTGACCTAGATATATAATCGGTAACCTAGAAGTTAAAACGCTAGAAATCCTAAAATGTTTAAAAACATTTACCAACGATATGATAGAGACATTGTTTGAGTAAAAATAGTGATATAAATAGTTGCTCAGTGAACCTATAAACTCTATACAGATTCACAATATACCCTAACTGGGGTCCAGAGATTAATTCACCAATAACCAAAATAAAGATATAATCGACAACCTGGAGATATATTATTGGTAACCTAGAGATATACTTGCTAACCTGGAGATATAATGGTAACCTAGAGATATAATGGTAACCTAGAGATATAATCGGTAACCTAGAGATGTAATCGGTCCTTAGAGATATAATCAGAGACCAAGAGATATAAACGACCTAGAGTTATAATTGATAACCTTAAGATATAATCGGTACTTTTATAGCGCTGATTAAAAATGTCTTAACTTAATGTCTACATAGGAAACTTTTGATAAGAAGTTAATTCAAAAGTCCGGCTGAAAAAATTATAGCGATTCGTTATTTGCTAAATAGTGGTCCAGGGATGAGCAAAAACTCAAATTGTGTCCTCTAAATTAGAATTTTTTGTATTTTTATAAAGTCTCTAAAATTGTGGAATGAGGTGCATGTAGAAAAAAAATTTAGTTTGATTTATTATCTTTCAGAATATTTTTCCAAAGAATTTTCTCAAAATATTTTTTTCAGACCAAATGTAATGCCAAAAATAATGGTCTCGAGATAGTTTTTCAAATATTACTCGTTTTTCTGAAAAAGGAACACAGAAGTAAAACTAGATATATTATGAACCTTTTTCTATCAATTGAAGTTTCAAATGGGGACCTATTTATACTTCTTTTTAAGAAAAAGCAAGTTTTTGCAGTTTTGGGGGATTTTATCCCTGAAATACCCTGACTACGAAAACCTATGTTACCTATGGTCAAAAGCAAATTTAGTAGGCAGCTCAAAAAGTTTTATCTGATTTCGCGATTTAAGTCTTACTTCCATACATACTTCCAATTTGAACTGATGCAAGTGCAATTTTTCTCAAAATTTGAAACCCCCAACAAACGACAAAAAAGCACATTATCTACAATACAAAATACAGTTTCAATGAGCACGCGCTCAAATACAAATTATATTGCAAATTTGAAATTCTTGACCTTGGTAGCCAAACTATGAGAATTTTCATTTCATTTCGCAGTTTTTGTCTCCCGAATTAAATCCATGAACAGCCCACTCTTTAAAATGAGAGATCCTGTAAAAAAATTCACTTAAAAGTAATCCTATGGATAAAAGAACCTAGTTCAATAATTTCACCAGAATCTAAAACTTTGGATCTTAGAATAGAACAATGTGAACAATAATAATGGGACTTCCGAATTGTTTAGACCAGAAGCAGATGTTGCAGCTCGCTTACTCGCGTCTCCATACCTTCTCTAGATCTGCTGCTCCCCAATCATGTTTTCTATCCTTATTCTTATCCTCCACAGCCTCCACATCCCCAGCCTCTACCTCCTCAACCTCATCCTTCTCAACCTTATTCGGCATATTTATCTGAAACCAAGAGAATAAAAGATAAAAATCTTCTTGTTCAACTGAATGTATTTGTTTCTAAAAATTTATCATATAATATATGCTAAAGCTACAGGTTCTATAATGAATAATATAAAATCACAATTTATTTAAGTTCAGGGCAAGAATACGTAAGAACAGATAACCTTATAAATGCACCGTGTTGCGTGGAATGCGAAGTCATGAATATAAAATATTGCTTTTAACAAGCCATGAATTCATTAAGGATATGCTTAGTCGATTACAAATACAACCAAATGTTCAGTCTTAATTTCAATTCCATGTAAATTTAAGGGTGACTAAATTATACACGACTAATTTAAGGGTGACTAAATACACGAATATTTAAGTAAATTTAAACCGGTAAGTAAAGGTTCATTAAATGTTTAAATACTGATTTGATAATATAATATTTTACAAAAGCGAAAAAAGCATAATTAAAATGCGCGAGCACAGAGCGGAATACATTAGAATTGTGGATATCGAGATCAATGCTTGATCCAGCCTTTTTCTTAATCTCGAGATTAAATAATGCTTGTTAACCTCTTGCTATTAATCTCCAGATTAATTAACTGACCGGGATTACGGATATCTCATTCTAAAGTTTTCAGCTCTGTACACATATCTGTATTCCGTGCGATGATTAAATCCACTCTGGAGCGTGTGCTCAACTTTAACATGCGTTAAGAACTGTACATAAACTGTACGAAAAAATGTTCACATCAGTACATAGAACTGTACTTATAGATGATGAAAAGCCTTAGCTCCTAAATATGTTACTGTAAGAATATAAATAGCGCTGAACATTTGTATCAGTTTATCCTTCTTCATTAATTTACAGCTCAGAATTACGTAATTGTTGTTACATAATTTTTTTTTTGGTTTGATTAAACATTCTAAAAAAATATAAACGCAGATTTCTACTGCATTAGAAGTATTACTAGGTGTTACTTAAGTGTTGCGTCGCACTACTTTTGAACAACATAGGCATTACTTCTGCACAACAACAACACAAGGTCCACCTCTTCCAGTATTCAGTGAAGCAACTTGACGCCAAGTATTATCCCTGAAATATTATAAAATTAGTGAAACTATTAACACTCAAATTCATTAGATCAGATCCCTGCCTGATTTGGATAGTTCAACCACGTAGACTTAGTTTAACCACTTCTCTTCAGCTTGACCCGGTAATACATTAAATCTGGGATCAAATTTAATGAATTTGTACTGCCTACCGCCGGTTCAAATTTGAATCACCGACTCAAATCTCCCTTAATATTTAACTTGGAGTCGATGGTTCAAATTTGAACCGGCAGAAGGTAATTCAGCATCGTAATTCGGTCCCTGCACAGTGCACAGTGTGGACACGTGTAAGGGGGTTTAGACTTATTTAATTAATCGGTATTTTATAAAACTTTTTATTCGAGAAGTAATACAACATTCATAAAAAACAAATCGCTTTTGTTAGTCATAAATCATAAAATAAATTTTATTTTAATGACAAAAGTAAAAACTGAAAAAGTGTGAAAAAGTACAGGCTGAAACATGGTTTAAAACAATTTTAGTGGATTTACACATTAAGATATATTTTACTTAGCTTTCTGAATCTCTTTACAGGTTAAATTTCAAAAAAATAATAGTTTTTTGCTTAAGTTTTTTTTTCATAAATGCAAACAAAGCCCACTTTTCGTCAATTTAATCAGACCAGTGTCCTTTTTGTCCACACTGTGCCCTAGTCCGATAAATTATAATTCTAGGCATCAACATATACTTATACGTGTAGCATTCGACTAATATGTTTACTTGATTACTAAAGATGAATATGATTACAAGATTGATACTGAATATCTAATTATTTATGACTGGAGATTGATATTACCTAGAATCGTAGCTCTCCACCAATGAGAGATATCCTGATCCGTCATATCCTCCAACTGCAAACAGCCTTTCTCCGAGTACACAAACACCTGGAGTAATAGGATTCTATTTACTTGTTGTGAAAAACCTATTGTAAAATAAGTAGGCTAGTTTAAATTATCAAAACAGTAAACTTTAAAACCTGAAATATTGAAAAAAAATTTAATTTTTAAAATAACAAAATAACCAGTCAATAAACATGGCTAAAAAATGCCTTAAACTTAAAAGCCAACCTATAAAACTTAATCCGCAGAAGCATCTGGATTCAAATAATTATAAACTTGTTAATAAAAAACCTACCTATCGCATCCCGTCCGATCGACAGACTCGCCACTAAGGTCCATGTATCCGTAGAAGGATCATATCTCTCCATACAACTAAACCTGGACTGGTTCGGATTTGTGGCAGCTGGAGAATCATGTCCTCCGACAGCGTAGATGAATCCATTAAGAACTCCTACTCCGACACCACCACGTCTCCGGCACATGTTGGCAACAAGGTTCCACTGGTTAGTGTGAGGATTGTATGATTCCACACTCCGGAGACAAGATGATCCGTCCCGTCCTCCAACTGCGTACAATTTATCATTCAACACTGCTACTCCGGCCGTACTTCTCTGAGTAGTCATCTGAGCTACAGGACTCCACTGACGGGTTGCTGGATCAAATCTCTCTACTGTATTCAGATAACTCCATCCGTCATGCCCGCCCACAGCATACAGAGGTCCTCCAAGTACTGCAACCCCTAAACCATGTCTATGTGTACTCATGGGCGGAACTTGGATCCACGTCCGTTCTGTTGGATCATAGCACTCAACAGTATTCAATGTTTTCAGCCCGTCTCTTCCTCCAACCACGTAGAGTTTTCCTTGAACCACACAAACACCAAACTGTAACCTGCGCCCAGTCATTGAGGCAAACTGTCCCCAGGTATCAGTTCTCATATCATACCGTTCTATACTAATAGCTCCCTTACTTGTATCAATCCCTCCCACGGCGTAAAGATATCCTACGGTGGATTTCCGTGGACAGGTTCGAGTAGATTGAAGAAGAGATCTTCGCTCCGGGAGAAGATGGTACTTCATGGCTTCTAAGATCAAGTGGTGGCACTCAGGATCACTTTTCAGCACAGGTTGGTTCTCAATATTGTCCGCTATGTACTGAGGAGAGAGAAGAGGAAGACGAATACACGCGAGCAGACGCGAGGCGTATTCTTTTCTGGTTGTAAGATCGTAGTTAACCCAATCCATAAATCCTTGAAATATAATCTCCTCGCTTGGAACATTCAGATCATCAGAGCTGAGTATATTCTCCAGTTCTGCTGCTGGAAGTAACATGAACTCCTGATTCTTCATAACATCCTGAACAATAAAATTTATTAACTCCAGATGGACAAAATAAATTACCAAACATATATTTATGATTTGAGGTTTGAATTACTGACAATTCTTAAACGCTTTAGTATCAATGTCTGAGATTTGTCGACCAATTTGTCAAGTTAATCCGTCACAAAGTTTCTTTCAATACGTTTCTCACATGGAATTAGTTTTTCAACATAATCAGCTTTATTACTGAATGAAATAGTTGTATACCAATCAATGCAAAAAAAAAAATGCTTAATCCCTACCTGAAAATTGTCCTCTGTAAATCTTTGTGAATAATCTCGTAACTGTAGACAACCCTGAGTATCTGCAAACCGTTGTATCCCTATACAGTTGGAGGGGTGGAGTAGTTTCCGACAGAAGGTGCTGCAGGCATCAACCACAGCTGGGAGTTGGAGAAGACAAGCTGCAGATAGAAGATTCTCTACATTCTCTTCATGTAGTTCAACTTTACCTAAGCATTGGGATGCGAGTTAAGATAAAAACTAAAACCCCATATTCAATTTTCCAATAATAGTAGAAGATAAGGGAGCAGTGAAATGAAATTGTTTATTTATCCTAATCTACAGGGTTACCAAAAAAAGAAATAGGTTTCAGAGCAGACTACGGAATGTATACCGTCTATTTTTCTTAATTCACGATTCATTTCAACAATAAACTTGTTTCTTACTTTGACCAAACTATACAAAGGCCATACAACTATATTTAGACAGAGAAGACTTAATTTTTCCATGGAATCGTCATATGTAAAGAATTTCAGATGTTTTTACAGTCTCATCTTTTGTGGGTAAATATTATTTATTTGTGAACCTATCGCGGATCTTACAGTGTTCCCTTTACTTTAGATCCTTTACCTGTATAACAGTAGTCGACTAGCACCTTGAGTGCCCCAGGTTCCATCCCATGTATCTCAACTCTATCCCTCTCCGCCTCCACCATGCCGCTGGTAAACATGGCGGAGAAATAGTCCGAAGCGGCGGAGAGAAGAAGTTTGTGCGCCGGGAACTCAACTCCGCCACAAATGAGGGTTACGTCAGTAAACACACCACTTGTAGCAAAACTCTAAATATTAACAAGATCGTTTTATAAACCATCTGACCGTTAGGCTAGGTAATCACTTCTATTTAAACCCCATCCCCCTCAGTGGTAAATATCTCAGTCGTCGTCGTATATTTTAATACAATGAAGAGAAACTTCGGCTTCCATCTTTATTTTTACAAAGTTTTAAAAAGAATGGAAAAACATTAGCATGAAAACAAAAAAAGCTGCCAATTATTTCCTTTACTTCCTTTTAAATTTGTGATTAGAAAAAGCTTGCAAAAAAAACTAAAATAAAAATCGTCTTCATTAATTGATAAAAACGCTATCTACTGTAAGCAGTGCTCAGGATCTGGATCCGTTGGATCCGCAAGATTTAGGCTTCCTGGATCCGGATCCGCAAAAATATGCGGATCCACGAATCCAAGGGGTAAAATATCGACCAAAAACTGAAAAAAAAAAATTTTAACTCCTAAAACCCAAATCTGAACTGATGAAAAAAAGAGATTATAAAATTTCCTCATTTCTGAATGGTTCATCAAGTTCTAGGATAAAAATAAACGAAAAAAAATAAAAAAGAAATTTTGAAAATTATTTTTTGTTTAAAAAATTTAGTAAATCTTAAAGAAATGACCTGGATCCGGATCCATTTTTTTCCAATGCGGATCCAGGATCCGGATCCACATCAAAATTGAATGGATCCTAAGCACTGTCTCAAAGGGAGCACTCCATGGACAAATACATTTATGTCACTTTAATTATTATAGTTATCTAACCTGAACCCTAGTGAGTATACCCTGAGAGTGCTGAGGGTCGGAGTAGGTTTCATCATGAAGACTATTTGGAGATCCTAGAACCGTCTCATCACTCAACAACCTTAAATATAAAAACTTTACAAATCTTCATATGATAAAATAGCATAACAGCAGAAATGAGAATCTTGTGATCAACTGCTGGATACAAAAAGACGTCATCTCTATACTCCAAGTACAAATGTACTCTATATATTCTAGGAATAGTATCTGCCTACTATACTGCATTAAACCAAGTAAAACTATACCGTACATATTCTAATAATAGTATCTGCCTACTATACTGCATTAAACCAAGTACAACTATACCGTACATATTCTAATAATAGTATCTGCCTACTATACTGCATTAAACCAAGTACAACTATACTGTAATTTGTTTTTGCGTAGTTCACGAAACCATTTGGCGCACACCTTTCCAGTCAAGATAGGGTTTTAATTTTTTGTGTGTGTATTCTAGACATGTTTATCTCCATAATAACTGATATGCATGTTGATAACCAAATTAGGGATGGGCATATTACAATTTTTGTGAAAAAAAACGAAAAAAGGTGAAATTTTAATCAATTGACGCACCCTGAAAAAAAATGTTAAGAATTTTTTAAAAATTATTTTTGAAAATCTTTCAAAATTTTGCATTTTTCTGGCGACCTTGCATCTCTGTACCAAAAGTGACCCTAAAAATGAACACCCCTAATGCTCCTATCTGGAACCCTGATGACAAATCTACAAGTATTCCCACGTAAGTATCAGATTTAACCATGCTATCAAGTCAGATAATCCAAACCAAGATATTCAATTTATAGTGTTGTTCCTTTTAAACAATTTTTTATTGATAACCAATTTCTGTATCTTTGAAGTTTTATCAAGCTCCACCCACAACTTCATAACAAATATGATATAATATTTTTCCAGATACTTAAAATATTCACAAATTCTCACCCCAAGAAAAATGATGGATAATGAATTCCAAGAAAAAATTTACTCCTGGATTGACAAATAAGCAATCCCGACTGCCACCATAACCCAAGTGTTACTATCATAGAACTAAGTTATATAGCCAAGTTATCAAAGTTCAGAAGAGCTGTGGTACAAGTTGTTCTTAGCTAACCTTGGACTGCTGAGACTACGACAAACTGAGTAGCTTATACTGCTCCCGCTGGAAAATGATCTTGTTAAATCGTCCATCCTCGCCTTTCATTTACCCGTGCGTGGAATCATACCTGATTCGGCCGTGTCAAGAGAGCTTCCATCTTCTCTGAAAAAAATATCATTTAAAAAATGTCAGTTTCTGAGAAGAAAAAAAAATGAGTTTCAATGCACGGTTCAGGTACATTGTTTAACATTTACAAGAGAAGTTTCTCAATCTCCTGCTGGATGGTGGTGATCTGAGGTTTGATCTGAGAACCCTCATTCTGGGTCACACTGAAAATACTTAAATTTAAAAAAAAGTAGTTTTCATGGTTTTATCTCACAATTTACAAGCTCAAAATGTAGATGATAAAAAACTTAAAATGTTGATCATTTCGTTGCTTTACTTTCTCTTTATTCTTAGATGTAAAAAGAACCGGTTTCTGATGTGATCTATTTTAAAGTATCAAAATGCAAGGGTTTCAGGCTTCCCTTAGGATGTTTTATTTAAAATGTTTGATAGATATTTTATATGACTAACCTGGCAGCAATGACCGGCCTGGAGACACCACAAGCTCTACCCAGGGCCTGCTTGGACCTAACGAACACGTAGGGAACATTCTTATCCTCGCACAACAGCGGGATGTGGAGCAGAATCTCCAGGGGCTCGCTGTCGGCGGCCAGAACGACAAACTCTGCCTGTCCTCTGTTCAGAGTCTTGGTAGCCTCGTTAGCTCCCTTCCTGAGCTGCTTGTAGTTGCTGGCCTGCTGAACCAAGTTTAGGATCTTAGTGGTCAGAGCCTAGTCAAATAGTAAGGTTTAAATTTGTAATACTAAAATTCTGTTAAAAGAAATATCGTTTAACTTGAAACTCGAAGCGTAATTTCAAAAGACCCTTCATGCAAAGCTGGCAATGCCTGTTTTACAATGGTACCCTTGAAAACTTTGTCTGATCAAGTACGATATCAATGTTTTGATCTTTAAAACTGTTCATTTTCTTTTGTGGTTTCCCTGCGAAAGTGACTGGCGCAAATCTTGTTTATAAAAAGCTATGGAGCGACTCACAGAAATAAACAATTTTCAAATAATAAAAAATGACGGTATCTTCCACATATTTGTTCAGATAAAGGTGTCAAGGCTACCGTTGTAAATGCGGCGCAGCGTTGTCATCTTTGCATGAAGGGTTACTTGAAATTACGCGTAAATTCCTTTCAATTAGTAATATAAGGTTCTCTACCTGCTCGGCCAGAGGGTATGCCTTGGGGTTAACTTCCTCAGTCATGATGATCCTGGTTGGTTTAGGAACTGTGTATATGCAGGGATAAGATGTTGGTTTTAACCTCTCTGCTCTGCTCGCCTGGTAGTAGGTTCACAGCGTCACTGCTTCACGGAGGATATTCTGAAACGACAAGATGTAACAACACTAACTCTGTGGAATACATCTTCAAGATATATATTCAGGATACAAAATAAATATAAACTGGGAATTAAATTTGAGGGGAGATAAGTCAAATAAAATTATTCACAATTTAGTCGATAATGGTTTAAAATTTTAATCTTTACGCAAAGGGGAGACATGAATACTAAAGATCCTAGAACTAAATACAAGATCATGATACGGATTATTTTAATATATATTGAAGTATTTTAATCTAGTTTCTCTAGATCAGAGGAGTCACTGCGCCGTCTTCTCTTTCTCATCCGCTCTTCACTGGAAGATCTAGACGGTGAACGTCTTTTCTGTGATCTGCTTCTACTTCGACGTGTTCTTCTCGTTCTGCTGGTTGATCTTCGCGGAGGAGACACGTCCCGTCCTCTTGATGATCTGACCCCTCTCCGGGTCCCTCGACTAACAGAACGGTCTGTTCGTCTCCTGGATTGCCCATCTTTACTCCGAGATACTGATCTACTTTGTCTAGCTGCTGGGCGGGATCGGGCTGGGGGAGGACTGACACTTCTTCGTCTCGAACTCCTTTAGATAAAAAGTATATATTTTAAAACTTGAAATATTTATTTATTTTCCCTTAGATTATGAGAGCTACCACAAAAATTTGACGCAATTGGTTCAGCTATTTCTACGCCTTAAGGTATGCAAGCTTGATTTCAAGTGACTCTCCGCACAAAAGTGACAAGGCCCGACTCAAAACAATACCATAAAAACCTTAATCTGATCAATAATTTGGAAGAAATTGTGATTTTATAAGCTTAAATTGTCACTTTGATAGTGAACCACGCATGAAAAGTAGTCAGTTTTTAATATCTTAAACATAGATTTCTAATTCATAATTTATCAGACAAAGCTTTTAAGGATAACGATGTGAATCGGGATTGCCATTTTTACTTGGCGGGCCGCTTGAAATACGCATACAGTCTCTTTAACAGTTAAACAGCTAGTGATAAATAAGTTTGAAATTATTTGTGGTTTGTTTTCGGAACGAAAAAAAAACAATTTTATAAATTAATGTATTGTATATATACATAAAAGTAGGCAAGGCAAGGGAAAGTTATTTCAGAGGTGCATTTTTTTGTACTGCAGTGTACTGTCTTTGGGCGGTGATGTAAACACAAGACGGATGTCGAAGCCTGACATGGGAACCATCTTTCACATAAAAATCAATGAAATATTCTAGTCATAGGAAACTTTTATGTGAATTATCAAAATTCAAAATCATCAAAATTATCAAAATTAATGCTTTTAACCTCCTCGGATACTCAGCGAACACTGACGCATCTATTCTTGTTAACAAATTTCGACCAGAAAGAACTTGTTTCAATATGTACGCGGAGTAAACGCGACCGCAATGAACTTTCCTAGCATTCGTACCTTGGAAGTAGGCATAAAAACAGCAGAACCTTTTAATTAAGACCATTTGCTAGCAAGCCCCCCCTCCCCCCTCCCTTCTTATAATCTTATTCTAACCTTTCCTCCGACCGTCTGTACGAAGCGGGTGGTGAAGCTCGTCGTTTATATTTTACAGGTTCTGGACTGGGACTCTTCTCTTCCTTAACTTCTACCTCGGACTCTGAGTCTGAAGTGGACTCTGAGGACTCGGACGAAGATTCTTTCTTCTTCGGTTTCCTTTTCAACACTGGTTTCTTCTTCTTAGGTTTATTTGCCTCGTCCTCGTCACTACTGGATTCTGAGGAACTGGAATTCTTTGTTCTTTTGGTTCGTCTAGCTTCCAGCTCTTTCTGCAGGATTCTCTCAACCTTCTTCAGGGCCTTGATCTTCTCCTTCACACTGTCATCCTCATCTTCGGTTGTATCTTTCTTCTTCTCCACTTCCTTGTTGGGTTTATCATGAGATCTGTCCCGTTCATTCTTAACCTGAACCTCAGGAACTTCTCTCCTATGTTTATATCTTCTTGTAGGTTCGGGAGATGATTCTTTACTCTCCTTCTGTCGGTTAGTTTCCTGGGTTTCACTTGAGGAACTGGCACTCTTCTCTCGTTTAATTTCCTTCCTAGGTTTAGAGCTTCGTTCTTCTCTTCTTTCTTGCCTGGACGACGGGGATCTTGTAGTTTTCTTCCTTGCTTCGGGACTAGAACTGTCATGCCTGTTTCCATTTGGAGCTTTTCGCCGGCCTCTACTTTCATCAGGACTCAAAGCTCTCCGTTCTACTACCGGGGATGAATCATGACGCCTACTACGTGGATCTTTTTTCTCAGAGACCATACGAGATTTTCTTCTGGAATCTTCTTCGTCAGAGGACAAGGAGACTTGACGTCTCGAAGATTTCTGGGGTACTCTTCTCTCCATCTTCTCATCATCTGAGGATACAGATCCTTTCCGTTTAGAAGATTTCTGTGCTGCTCTTGTCTTGGTTTCATCTTCCGAAGAGAGTGAAGATTTCCTTCTAGATTTATTGCTTCTTTCCTCCGCTTTTCTTATATTCTCTGGTGTATCGTGTCTAGTGAGTTCAGGGGAAGAAGAGGGATGTTTTCCTCCCCGCCGCTGTTCTCGAGAAGGAGAGCGGGAATAATGTTTTCTTTTCACCGCAGACGGAGCGCGTCGTTTGTTTCTGACAGGAGAAGGAGATCTGCTGACTTCTGCCGGTCTTCTACTGCCCCTGGAGTCGGACCTGTCTCTGCGTGTTCTCACGTTCTCAGAATCAGATACACTTCGTCGTCTTCTCTCACGGGAATCCCCATTTCTGTGCTCATCCTGTCTATCATACTGGTCCCGGTGTCTATTGGATTCATCAGTCGTCCTCCCTTCAATCCCCCTTGTCGTTCTGGTCTCCTCCTGTCCTTTCATCTGCCAACGGATAGATCTTACAGGACTATCACGCTCGTCCTTGATCTTGGGAAACCCGTCCATCCTCTCCGCTCGTCTTGTATCCTTCTCCCGAGATATAGACGGAGATTTCTTTTTCTCCACTCCTTTCTTCTCTTTCTTTTTCTCGTCCTCGGAATCTGAAGATGAGGAGGATGACGATGAACTAACTGACGCTTTCCTTTTACGCTTCTTCTTCTTTTTCTTCTCCTCGTCTGAGGGTATCGTTTCGTATTTCTTAGCCATCTGATTGGTTGCAACCTCCAAAGCCTTCCTGTCAAAACTACTACCCTCGATAAACTTTTCCGAGATACCGAAAGCGTCCTTAAGTCTGGCGTTCTTCTCCTTTTGTGCTTCGGCAATCTGATGCGTGTCTTTCCCCACCGGCCGACCAAACTCATCCACTTCAGTGAAAGCTTTCTTGGTCATCTAAACATAAAAAGTGGAATGTAAATCAAGTAATTATATTTACTACTAGCTGAAGGGCCCGGCGTTGCCCGTGGAAAAAAAAAATAATTTTTTTTAAAAAATTTAGATTTTTTTCCTAGCCTGTAATACCCCCCTCCCCCCCGGCCACCATTGAGTTTCCACAAAAAAATTCAGCCTAATCGGTCTAGCCGGTTGGGCGGCTTTAGGCAACATATAAATACACAAATGTCTCGTTTTATTATGTATGTAGTTTTGGTCATAATATCCCAAAAATAAAAATATTATAAATGGACATTTCACCCCCAACTAAGCTTCCTGTGTGTAATGCTGGGGTTTGCAGTACTCTGAACAAAGAAATAGTAGGGTTTATATTATGGACAATTGGCGATATTATGGAAAAGCGAATTGATTCCTGGTATAAAATAAATCCACCAAATAAAATTTAATCCCCGAAATAAATGTATAAATTAGAAAATCCTAAAAGGTTAGACCAACCTCTTTACTAAGGAGCTGACTCCTGAACAGAGAAACCTTCTCTTGAACAGTTTCCTCTGAATATCCTTGCTCCTCCAGCTGCTCGGCCAGCTCCATACATTTAACCTTAAGAACAATGCACGTTACATTCATCGGAAAAACTGTGGTAAATATTTACTCAAATATTTACCCCAGGTGCTATTAATAGGGCCTTGTTTCCTCTAGTAATGAATTAATTATTGGGTAAATGTCATAGGATTGGTAAAAGACTTGCAAAATATCCATTTAGTCCCCGACGGATGACCATCGAAAATAAAAGAGAAAAACAAAACAAGAAAATGTTTAATACAACGGTTTTATGTCACAATAAATATTTTTTTTATCACCTACCCAATGACAAACTCGAAGTTCTTAGAGAAATCTATGGAACGACATGATAAATTTGATTAGGGATGAAAAACCAGGACATCATAACCTCCTCTACTTTGAAAAACTTACCTCGAGTTTGCGTTTCCTCTCATGGTCCAGAATTCCCTGGTTGGGTTCCCGGTTAGTAGAAGCATCTAATCTCTTAATATCTTCCTCAGTTTTATATTTAATATCATTCTTCCCTTGACGCACAAAGGCAAAGTTCCTAAAACATTATATTTTTATTGATCAAACTTTTACAAACAAGCAACACAAAAGTGATTCAGAACGTTGTCAGTTTAGGACTAAAAGAAAAATATGTATTCTTTGTTAATTAATAGAACAAGATATCAAAGGCCAGTCCTGGAAGGGGGCAGGGGAATGAAGGAGAACAAAATTTCCAGAATTGATGCTACAATACACATAAACCTGTCAAGATTACAAAAAAACATAAAGCTGACCTACATCCCGTACTGGGTCCCAACATACAACTGAATGTAAATAACAAAATTTGATGAAGTCTTAGGTATACGGACCCGGATTCGACATATAAATTTGACAATAAAAATCAGTTAGAGTGTACGTAAATGCCAAGCCATGTTTAGCAAGAAAACTAGACAATACAATGGTGAACATAATGTTGTAATCTATCAAAATAAATTAATTTCATAAGTTTCAGGTCCGTCCCAGTATACGGTTTTATGGACGGGCCCCCACCCCCCTCTTATCAATTTTGTTTAGGACCATTAATTTTAAGTAATTTTGAATTATTTATTAAGGTCGATAAGGAACGCTGCGACAAGGACAGACTTGGAGCCGAGCGCCGCGGCTAGGACAGGCTAGGAGGCCGGGCGCTGCGGCCACATGACAAATTTTCTCCATATATAACATATGAGATCCATTTTCAAATATGAAAGGGGGCGGGGTTAGGCAATTACCCTAAATTTGAAATAATGGCATAGACCATCCGATAAAAAAAAACATGTTCAAAACTGCTTTTATACACTTACCGTTGAACGTAACCATTTGTTCCAGAACCTCGTGCAGTCTCTAATCCTATCCCATTATACATTGTATGTTGATTTATGAAACTTCTGAAATATTTTTTAGTCAAAACGTTTCTATCTCACGTTTCTTCCAAACTCTCCGTGCTACTGTGCTTCGCCAATCGCCAAGTTCGCCGTTTGTTAATGTTAGGCCTCTGCAATTGCCGCAGAACTTTGTTTGTAATTCACGTGTATAAGGAACAAAGTAAATCAACCAATCATTTAAATTTTCTTTGTCGTCTTATTTTTGAATAAAACTCGGACTAACGTTCAGATGCACTAATATTTTCAGAAAAAAAAATTAGTTTGAAGAAATTTTTTGTTGGAGATGTTCATTTGCACTAACATTTAAATTCAATTTATAGAAAAAAATTAGTCCGATTAAAAAAAATGTTGTTGGACATGTTCATTTGCACTAAATTCGTCCAATTGCACTAATATTTACAGAGAAAAAAATTCGTGCGCTTGAGCAAATATTTTTAGTATTAACCAGATCAATGGCACGCGTATTTGTACTAAAATATTCCTGCAGCGGGAAATCAAAAGTTAAAGTCCAATTGAACGTACATAGCTCGAATTTGTCCATTTGCACTAATGTTTGATCGCACTACAAACCGGTTACTGTAGATCAACTGTTTAGTGCAATGTACGTTAAAGTTCAAACGGACATTAGTGCAAGAAGTGCAAACGCGTCGCACCTGGGATTAACAAAATTCCAATGAAAAATTTCATATTTAAAAAAAATTAATTCCACATTCCATTACTTATTATTCATTTATGTTCGAATTACCTAATTTTTCTGAAAATCATATTTCATACATGAGTATTGAGCATTAAACGTCTGCCTTTCCTTTCCCTTTGTTAAAACTATTTAATTTGCATTAGTCAATTGATCTACTTTTGTAATTTAGTCCATTAGAGGTTAGTCCCAATGAACATTAGCTCAATCGATCACTGTAGCGCATTCCATAGATTTCATCAATTAAATGCAGGCGCAGCTTATATTTACCAGGGGGGGGGGGGGATATTGAATATGTCAAAACCATGAGCAGCTTGGAGACCTAGAATTTGGAAAATGTTTCAGAAAAATTTGGATTTTTATATAAGCATCTTTAATTTGAGTGAAGAAGTAAAACTCCATATAATCTGTCATAACAATAAACGTGAATGAATCTCTTAATGACTAAAATAACGATATTAAACATGAATCTCTATTTTCAACCAGCATAAAATTACAGTTTAAACTAATTAGAAAAGAAAAAAATCACATTTATTTATAGTTGAATCACAACTCGTAAACCAAAATATCCGAAATTAATGTGTTCTATATTGTGACAAATATAGGTTAATCAGGATAATATGAAATCATCACCATAAACCAGAGAAATAAAATAATTTAAAGACTAATAAAATAACTTGCACTTATGGGAATGTAAGGTTCTCCACCACTCTAATAATATAAAAATTCATATTTTTGCTAGAAAATAGGTCGACTTAACTTTTACTTTCCAGTAATAATAAAAGAAGAGGGGTGGGCCTGAGATATAAATAATGCATCATACTTAGGAAGTGGAAATCAGAAACTTACCAGGCACAAGCTTAAGGATAAATGCTGATTTTAACACATTAATACAATTTTACAGTTCACAGTTGGAGGCCAAATTAGTAATGTTGGGAATTTAAAAAGAATATTGAATGGAGAGCTTCTGGTCCGAATGAAAGATATATGTGCATATGTAAAAATAGAACGATAAGACATAGGACACTGGGACACTGGAACACTGTAATGAAGGGATAGGGTATAAAAGCACTTCAATAAGATCCAGTTTTATTAAAAGAAAATTCAAATTAAAAAATTTAAAAAAAAACATTCATTCCTTGTATCAAGTCAAGTATAACAGTTTGCATAATTATGAATAAATAACATGAATTTAAACTATGGACGAAATTTATTAAAATTGTTTTATTAACCCAACAGCTAAACGAAGAAGGATGAATTGAGGCTCGTGTGAATCTTACTTTATCACTGTAACCAAATTAAGGTTGGATTTGGTTGCAGAATTTAATAAAAAGTTCTAATACATAAAATAGATAAGACCCGACAACTTAACCGGTTGGAATTCTTCAACAAATTCTCTAGTTCTCAACTCCTGTAGTTCCACGGATCTCACCCTGCAATAAATATAAGTAGAGAATATAAAGAATACTTCTGTATCAGGGTAAACCCTGTAATAAATATCAGTAGAGAATATATAAAGAATACTTCTGTATCAGGGTACACCCTGTAATAAATATAAATAGAAGAATGTATAAAAGATGTCTGTATCTGGGTACACCCTGTAATAAATATGAATAGAGAGTATAAAAAATATGGCTGTATCAAGGTACACCTTGCAATAAATATGAATAGAGAATATAAAAAATATGACTGAATCAGGGTACACCCTGTAATAAATATGAATAGAGAAAATAAAAATATGTCTGTATCAGAGTACAACCTGTAATAAATATGAATAGAAAATATAAAAAATATGTCTGTATCAGAGTACACCCTGTAATACATATGAATAGAGAATATGTGGAATATGTCTGTATTAGGGTACACCCTGTAATAAATATGAAAAGAGAATATGTAGAATATGTCTGTATCAGGGTACACCCTGTAATAAGTCTGAATAGAAGAATATGTAGAATATGTCTGTATCAGGGTACACCCTGTAATAAGTCTGAATAGAAGAATATGTAGAATATGTCTGTATCAGGGTACACCCTATAATAAGTCTGAATAGAAGAATATGTAGAATGTGTCTGTATCAGGGTACACCCTGTAATAAATATCACATAGCGATCCTCTTTTCTTTTAGTATAAAATCCTTAAGTAAAATGCTTTGACTGATTTCAATCAAGCAACATTTATGTATTAATACACGAAAAACCATCTACCCTCCTCATTAAACGAAATTTTTAAAAACTCAACATTTTGACAGATCTTTTTACTATCAAATTGACATTCTGAATACAAGCTCATTAAGGAATCATAAGGAAGTGAAATCTGCAAGAGACCCCATTGTGGGCCCCCCAGACCGCCCAGGCAGCAGGGTGCACTTCTTAGGATATGGAATAACCTTGCCACTTGATTTAAAAAGAAGTGCCTCGTTAGGCATATATCTTTTTCTGTTATACGTACTACTAAACTTTAAAACTGAAAAATCAATTATTTTGTAATGCTGCTCCTCGCTCTCTCTAGATTTAACTATGTAATCCCTGACTTATTGTAAACTTTCAAAACCTAGTAATATTCATCTTACTGTAAACGTTTTAATATTAATCAGGTGGGGATAATACCCAAATCAGCGAAAACTAATCTCCACCTAATCGCTATAATACATACATATAGTAAACAATATAAAAATAGTTGCAGCTTTTTACCTGTGACATTATAACTTGTATGTGAATTTCTAGCAATAAACCATATCTTATTTTATCTTATCTTATCTTACGGATAGAAGAATGTATAGCAAATATGTTTGTAACTACGATTTTCACTATTCAGTCTAAATGAATTCTTAACTTTCTTTATAAGAAAACAATTCTATAATATATATTTATCAACAAACCTTTGATCTCTCCTCATCCAACTCCCTCTTCGTCTTTTCTTCAAGATCTCTAATATCCTGCATAGTCATACCGTGCCACTTATCCATCCAGCAGAATACCTATACAAGGTTTTAAGTGCATTTTTAATTAGGTTATCTTAAACATACACCACCGTCATATAAACTAGTGTATTTGTGTAAACTACCTAGTGTGTGTTCACTGTAACGCCCAAATATAATAATCACATACACTCAACTCCCCCCCCCCCTCTTCTTGACATAAAGCTTTAACAGCTTAAAAGGTAAATCCCAAAAAAATTCCATCCTCATAATCACTGTTTTTTTAACAGCTATTTAATTCAATTTAAACGCTTAAAAAAATTTTGCTGGGAACAACCATTTTCTCTCAATGATTTCAAAGGTTTATTTTGTTATTCACCTTTCTTTACCTTTTTTTTTTGATGTAAATAAGTAAAATAATCCAAAACTCAAAAACATGGAAGAACAGGGACCATCTTTAATTAATATAAGCCACGTCCCTGAACTACCTACTGGCGGTTCAAATTTGAAACACCGTTTCAAAGTTAAAGATTAGGGAAGGATTTATATAGGTGATTCAAATTTGAACCGATGGTAGGCAGTTCTAATTGATTAAACCAAAATGAAGAATAAATAGTAGAGGATTAAAGTTACCTGTCTATGGAAGTTAAGGAAAAGTCTATGTTCTGTTGAATGAATAAAACTCTCCACTCTATCCTGTAGTCCCCACCTGTACAAATTATGCAATGTTAAATTTAGGTTAACTGAACAGTTCTAATGTAACTTGATGACGAATTAAATATTTCTGCAGCAAGATCTATTTCATAATATTCCTTAACTTTGTACTTTCACATTTATGTTTTCCTATCTTTATCTTGCTAAAGGAGCTGAAAGAAAATATATCAAAAATAAATAAGAATTATCTATAACAGTTCAACACGCTTATCGGGCAAATACATCCTTAATGAAATTTACTTCGAAATTAGAAGAAAAAACCCCGTAAAATATCAATTTGTATCATTAAGTCGGTATTTAACATCCCCCCATTTATATATTAAGTATATTTACCACTTGAACTGAATGGTAACAAGCTTGTACGCTGTCATGATCGGCTTCACGTCCTTCTACACAAGAATAAATTAGAAATGTGAATATTCAATGGACCGTTGTGATCCAACAATTAAAGTCCAAGGAGTTTCACGTCCGATTGATTTAATCTATTCCTAAAGAGAGCAACAATGAGGAATATATCGTGTTGAATTCTGTTAATTACTTCTGTATCTCTTCTCTCACAGAGAACCCACGGTTGGAAATTTACATTTTCGGAAGGAAAACATTTATGCTCGAACAGTGTCACTAAATGTTCGTAGAAAGGAACAACTTAATCAAACCACAATCATGATAGCATTGAAAATGAGATCCAACTTTATTTTATTTATGTATAGTATCGAGTGTACAAAACTACCCTATTCTAAATGAATTGTACCGTGAATACTGTATCTACCTGCCATTCCCCAGTAAGGGGTCCTCTGCCTGTTTTCTCAGATTTAAATAGGGTCGGATCCTCTTCCTTCTTATAGTCGTTAGCAAGTACAGTATCATTAGCGATATCTATCGGTACAACCTAGTAAATAAATCTGGTTAGCGAGTACAGTATTGTTAGCGCTATCTATCGGTACAAAATAACATAAAAATCAGAGGCGTATTCAGGGGGGGGGGGCTATAGGGGCTAAGCACCCCCTGGACCAGTGAAATCTATTGATTTCAGGGAGGGGGTACCTGATACCAACGGTTGCTGACCCCACCCCATGGAAAGAAAAAAAAATTAAGCCCCCATCCCCTGGACAAATTCCTGAATACGCCCCTGAAAAAAAATGTATTATCTTATGACACGTAATTTTTTAATTTGAATCACATCTAGATAGATAATAGTAAAACTAGATCAGTAATAAAATAGATGTTTGCCGAGTATTCAACACTTGTTCAAACATCAGGCGTCAGCAATATAAATCTACACTGTACAGTGTATTGTATATTTTATAGTGCATATTTATATATATATTAAATACATGTAAATTTAAATTATTTGAAAGGGAAACATCTCAAATATTTCTTTTATGTTGACATGTTTTAAATTCTTAGGTTGAATTAAAAACAATCAGTGCCTCAGTGCCTGATTAATCAGCTGATAAAATAGTTATAACCCTGAGATTTTGGCATTGGCGGCTTCAACTTTTTCATGACTGGGTCATAATTTTCCAGTGTGTAGTGTCTACTGTCTAGTGTCTATACCTGTCTCTGCTTTAGTTTCTTCCCATCCAATTCATGAACATTCTCCTGCTTTCCATCATCTCCCAGGTGGTAGGTCTCAATTATTATATAAAAATTGTCCTGAATTAATATATGAATTATTAACTCCCCTTAGCTTGTTAAGTCCCCTTGCCCCCCCCCCCCTCCTATCCTCATATAATATGTAAGAGTGGAGATTGTGAATATCTGAACCATAACTTCCGGTCCAACACTAAATATGTAAAAATCATCTAAACTTAAATTTGTTAAACTAGGCTTTATGGCATTGTGAGCCGTAAGTCTTGAATCCTAATCATATTATTAATCCCTGTATAGTGTATACATCACGATTGGGATTGATAGGATTAATAAATTAAATATTAACAAGTAAACAACCTACGATTGGGATAAAGATATTATAATTTAATCAACTGCATGAATATAGAAAAAATTATTCTGAGAAACCTTGACTCAGAGTAAATGGCTGAGTTAGTGAAAAGGATTATAGAAAAATAAATCCCTAGTTCTTTATATTCTATATATTAGGAAACCTTACCTAAACCAAACTAATACACCACCAGGAGGATTTATTAGGGGATACAGAATACAGATAAGACATAGGGATATAGTACTTACAAAATAGGGATCCTTCTCACTTTTCTAATCCTCTCTACAACTTCCATTTACTTGCTAATGCTATCAGCAATCCAGCAGATAACCCAGTAGTAAGATAGCTAGTGTACAATACCTTCATATATCCAGGGTTAGAGAGAACAGTTTTACAGTACGGATACGCGTTCCAGGCTTCCTCGTGGATCTCGAGGGAACCCTTGGGAGCAACCATTTTAATCCAACTAGGAACCTGAAACATTTTTCTTCAACACTGTTATATTTTCTTTCTTAATTGTTTTCAAATCAATCCTTTGGGAAACCGATTCTAACAAGCATGAGATGTACTATTAATTGATTGAACACCACTTTAATAAAAACAAAATTTAAGCAATTTAATTAATGTTTACCTTGCTGGCAAGGTGGTATATTTTATGAGTGTACTGTCCCTTTGTAAACTTTCCATTGAGCAGAGGAACATTCTCATAGGGTTCATTCTTAAGAACTTGAACTCCTTCTCCTCCTCCCGTCTCATTCTTACTCGCCTCGGCTACTGAGTAGAGTTGAGCAACCTAGATACAGGAGATACAGGTTCAGAACACCATGCACTGTACCAAGAATATATATTTCACATCTTCAATTTCATTGATAGCATACGTTTTTAAAGATGCGGAGGTCATTCTCTGTTATCGATCCAAATTAAATTTCCTTATTTAAAAACAAGCTGATCGAACATATGGTGAATAAATTGTGTCCAGAATAATTTGTCTACCGGACAGATCCAAGATCCGCGTCTGCGTTTAAAGTTTTAATGAAAAATAAGCTCTGGATAAGTTGAAAATTTTAAATACTTAAAATTACTTTTATCACCATAAGGATATATGTACAAAGGGATATTTTATCAAGGTGACAAAAGGTGTTTGATTACTGACTAGGGTGCCTGCAAAGTACATAATCGTATCTTAAACAAGATACAACAAAAATCTTGAATCAAGTATAATATAGAAACATTGATTGAAATTTGAAACTCATTAGAAGGCAGGTAGAAAGTAATTGTTCTGAGAAAGCACAAAGAAAACACTAATTAATCAAATAAAACTTTGTAAATTGAGAAGATAAAATATAGAAAAACAATGTGTGGTTTTTATCGTGTGGTTTTATCAACTTTTATTGATAATTTTTCCACATTTATTTTTAACAATTTATTTTAATTAAATTTTTTTACAAAATTTCACAAAAGCAGTGAATTTTTTCTTTAATCGTTGGATCTTCTTTTATCTGATCATACATCTTTTATCTGATCATACATCTGCTTACTGTTCTTCTCTTTTTTTATCTGATCATACATCTGTTTTCGGTTCATTTTTATCTGATCATACATCTGTTTTCTATTCTTCTCTTTTATCTGATCATGCATCTGTTTTCTGTTCTTTTTTATCTGATCATACATCTGTTTTCTATTCTTCTCTTTTATCTGATCATACATCTGTTTTCTGCTCTTCTCTTAGATCTACGCATTCTATCCTCTTGTAGAAAATTCTGAGGATATTCATTGTGTCAGAATTCCGCCTTGATAATGACAAATGGGATAAGTAAGGTTAGGAAAGGAGTGGATATTTCCAACAAAATAAATATTGATTCTTGTAAGTTCATCTCGGAATACGGCCTCGTCTACAACAATCTTTGCAGCCAGCAGAGTATACACCGGTATCATAGTGCATGGTGCACAACCAGTCAGGATTCTACTTTCTATGTTTCCATTTTCCTTGTTTCTTGCAAGAGGGAAGGGGATAAGGAAGAGAGAATCCTTCCCCCTCTCTGCACTAATATTTTATTGTTTTCCAAGTAGGGTGTACTGCCGTCTGCCATGTTATTCCACATAGGGTGCTGTTCAGTCACAAGAAACTGGAGAGAGCTGTATAAGAACCTGACTGTTCTAAGCTCCCTTGATGCTTACACATAGAACCAGATTAAATTGAAAGAATAAACGTCTCTCCGCAAGTCCTGATACTTAATAACAACTAATCAAGCTTGTTATTAAGGAGTATATAAAAAGCTGCCAGTAGCAAAATCTGGATCCAGCTAGGTAAAAAAAACTTCCATCCTCCAGGTTAATACAGCGTTTAACGATTAATGCAGGTCTTTAATGTTTCTTGCTAGTTCCGGTTTCTTGCTAGTTCCGTTTATTTTTTTTTTCATTAGTATGCAAGGGAGTATACTCCCTACACCCCTGGCTAAATTTTTCTAGTTTGCCCTTTTCTCTTTCACATTGTATCTCTAAGTACTCTTAGAAGCGCCGATCCAGAGCTAGTTGTTACTCCTCTGTAAGCTAGATGTATACCGTTTATCACCTTTACAGCTTTACAAAATCCCTCTTCAAAGAAATATTACATAATTTCAAATGATCCTCCTATAGTAGAGTGGCATGTCAGATTTACAACTACCAATACCTTAGTCTGATTATTAACGTCGGAAAAATCCATGTTTGTGCTTAAAATGATGCGCACAGTTATGTACATTGTAAACGTAACTTAAAAAATCAAATATTTTTAAAGAATCGATCGCAAATATTCTATGCCTAACTTTTTTTTAAAATTCGAATGAATCTGCCTCCAATAAGTAAATATTGGAGATCTTTTAATAAAAAAAAGTTACCAACAAATACAATTGGATAAAATAAGCTACCTTTATCATCCATGAACAGTTAAGATTTAAAGGGTATTCAAACATTCAACTCCACAACTGGAGGGTCACTTAAAATTACGTTTTGTCTCTCTACAATAGATATTTTAGAGAACTATTTTAGCGCTGTATGCAAAACCTCTAGAACATCAAGAAAATATCAACCCCTCTTTTATAATTGAAACAAAATATAGAGTTAATAAAACAAAAATTACTGAGTAAATTATTTATTTAAAAATTAAAATTTACTGAATGGATTTTTTATTTCTTAATATCTAGGAGAAAAAAAACTGTACCTGATATTCATCCACGGTCATTGGCAATGTGACTCGGTATTCTTTTATAATCATCTTAAGTTTCACAATGTATCTGAAAAAATCATAATTGCTTAGACAAAACATTTCAGGGGAACCGGTTTAGAAAACTTTATATCCATTACGTCGAGCAGGACGTTAATAGTTCAGAATTAGATCATGTAGACAGAAAAAACAGAATGGTAGGGGAATGGAACGGAAGAGAAAGTGAAGCTTCTTACCAGTAATTTTAACGCTCCGCAAACAAACTTTAAATCAAAATAATCCCATAGAAGATTAGAAAGATAAGTAAGAATTTCAAAGAAAATATTAACTTTGAACATAAAATCACAAGTGAGTCTTATTTACCCTCTTCCATAGTATTGCAATTGTATGGTCTGTCCTAGAGAACTATTTTTGGACCCCCCCCCCCTCCTATCAATTTTGTACATGTCCATTTATTTTTCAACAAATTTATTATTATTTATTTTTTTGTTATTAGGGTTAGGCTAGGTTAAGATACTTTCTGGGCCGAGCGCTGCGGCTAGAACGGGCTAGGGGGCCGAGCGCTGCATAGGTTAAGTTAAGACGCTTCCTGTCAGACCCATGTACAAAATTGATAGGAGGGGGGGGGGGAAGTTCAAAAATCGTTCTCTAGGAATATACACAATTGTAAAATTGGTTTGGGTAAGAAATTGCATTATATATTGTGTCTCTGTGTGTAAGTCTGAGAATTTTTGCTTCGGTTTAGAAATTGTTAGGAACTCCGCCAAAAAAAGAAGAATTCGGTGTAGACACACGTCTTATTCGATCCCGGTTCTAAAGCTGTTTCACGCCTGAACAAGTACGACTTATGCCGTAATCACTTATGATCACAACCGTGAAACCGCTTACGACCCTTAGATCGAATTTCGCCGTGCCATACCAGCAAATTCGTCATAATCTTTGAACTTAAAAATCCCTGATATTTGAGTAAAGGTGAAATTAAAACCGTGTCACGATAATTCTACTTAACTAAGCCACACTTTACCTGTTACCATAACACATCTGTTCAAAGGTTTAGACACACAATTTATCTCACCAGAAGCTGCCAAATTTAATTAAGAAGAGAGTATACAAAAGATGCTTCATAATATGAAGCGTAAAATATTCAGGACTAGGAAGATAATGTTCACAGGATAGGCATATTAAGAGGTTTAAAACTATACTTCGAACCTTCCTATCACATGACTCATCTGTGAATCAACACACAGTGAGTAGAGTATACTTGTACTCTCAATGCAGAACGGAGACTGGACGCGGCAAACTAACATTTGGGAATATAATTGCAGACATTAAACTCCTTTCACAATAACTACGAATTGGAAATGAAATTATTTACAATGAAGGTAGCATGGGTAGGATGCTTTGTCAGGGGCATATGCAGGTCATGCAGGGAGTGTCAACTGCCCCCACCCCAACCCCCCTGGAGAATTTAAAACTGTGATTTCTAATGAAGATTCCAGTATCCAAACAAGACAAATGAATTAGAAAACCTTATCAAGGTCCGTTTCTTTTAGAACTCACAAAGTCGTAATCTTCCGTACATTTTACGTATACGTTCACTTGCAACATTTTATCCTTTAGATATTTCCTTGGTTGGTTATCTCATGGTTTCAGATCTACTGCACTATGTAAACAGAAAATGTACTGTACGATTTTTTAAACCAGTTTGAAGTTTGAACAGTGAACAACGTACGCAAAACTGAAACAGAGTACAGTGTGTACGCATTTTATTTTAAACTTACAACTCCAGGGGCGGTATAACAATTTTCTAAAGCTGGGAGTTAAGTTTTGAAGAAAAGATATCCTTGTTTTACTATGAAAAAAAATATTGCGAATTATAAAAGAAAAAGGTATTCGAATAATGTAACCTATAAATTCCAGGAAGGTTCTTTTTTTTCTTGAGGGGACCGGAAGTGCCCCCTCCCCCCTCATGATATATTGTTTAGAATGAAGAAATTCCATGAAATTAAATGTTCTTATAGCATGGTTCTATAAATGCCATGCAATTATATGGTATACAAACCAATATGTAAAATTCTAATTAAATATTACCTCTGGCCTGCAATTTTACCAATCACAACTTAATCACGGTATAACTGAATTCTGATAAAGTTGAAGATTTTTGATTAAAATTTCCCGGATTTTATGAAAATTTTAGATATTTGTTCTTTACTCGAGCACTTTATAAAGTGTGTTTTAAGGGGTAATTTTCGAGAGATCATAATAAGGAATGATTTTGGATGGCAAGGTGAAAAAAGGCGGATGAGACTTCGTTCCGTTAAGTGAGAGAAGTTAAAATAAAGTTGAGAAGAAGAGAAAAAAAGATGAATATAAAGATTGAATAAGATAAGACTTGAATTGAATAAAGTTTGTATTTCTATTAGGCAATATTAGGTTTACAGTTTATTATCACGGATTTAATTTGAATTTTTTCATTGAAAACAGTGCATATGACGATCATGAGTCATGACGATATAGAAATAATTATGGACTAAATCAGATGATATCAGAGGTGGTAGGTGTTTCCTTATTTCTTCGGAATGTATGTACAGCCCCTCTCTTTGGTTTTTTATTTTATTCTTGTAATATTGTTCATTTTAATAATTTTATACTGCAATTAAACCCCCCTCCCCCTGCCTCTTCTTCCTAATACACCATAATTAAAAATATTGAGAAAACATTTCTAGTTCGAATTCAAAATAATTGTAATTATTAAAATACTTCTCGAAAAGTTATGTTTTCCAATCCATGATTTTTAAAGTTGAAAAATAAACTGAACACATGTTGATAATGATATCGATATCTAACGTTAGCTAGTTAGCTAATGTACAGGGCCTCTCAATGAGAATAAAACCAATACGCCCCTAAAAACTAAAGTTTCATGTTCTTATTAGTTTCGACTAGGAGTTTCGTCATTTTTTATCTTTAAAAGTTTTTGTATCAGATTAATATAAAAGGGAGGAGGGGGGGGGTCCCTGACTGATGCTGATGAACTGATAAGTTTAGTTTAGACCGAATTAACTGATTAGGGTAGAGCTATAGTTTAAGTCCAGAATGGCATGGGTTGACAATATTCAGCAACTCCTTGCAACCCTATCCTGTATCCTAGGGATCGTGTTTACAGTTCTCCTGGTTATCCTGGAGATAAGATCCAGGATCCGTATCTCTTATCAACATTCAACCAGGAAAACAATCTTACTTTATTTCTTTTAAAGAAACCACTTGAGAAAGAGAAAGTTTGTTTTCTGGTCAAATTGAACTACTATTATAATTATTATTATTCTTATCAAATTGACTTTAATAGAAATTTTTTGTCAAATCTTTTAGTTTCCAATTTAACGTTCCAATTTTCTACTCAAGAAATGTAGGATTAGAGAAAAAAAATACAGAGAAAGATAATCTGTTTAAAATCGTTTCTATCAAAGGAATTGAGTCTTTGCCACAAATCTTATTTTATAATCCCTATAACTTTGCCACCAAATGTCGTAGACCTTAGATATTTCAAACTGTTAATTCTGTCAGCTCAAATAATCTAAGTTTGAAACTTCAAAGGTTTACATTATTAGGTTGCAAAAATATAAGGATGAGAAAATTTAAGTTTGTGGCAAATACTAAAGTCCTTTGATATTTTTCTCTACTTGTTAATCGATAATCGATTAGGATAATCGATTAGGATATCAACAATTGGAGGATTTGTTTCTAGATTTATCATTCATGTTTACTATAACGATTATTTAAAATGAGTTTAGGGATTTTCTAGTTTTCTACATGGTCTTCCTGGATTTTCTAAAAATAATTTTTCAGGTAAATGAAATAAATCGAAATATATATTAATATAAAACTAAGAATTTAGTTTTAAAGATTAAGTTTCTCTCCTTTAGCGTAAAATTACATAGAGAACCATTTTGCATCGTGAGTTTGATAATAGAAATTTGTATTTTTATTTAAATAATATTATTTTGTTTCTTAAATTTAGTTTCTTTTTTAACGGAAAGGACGACAAGGATATGCTCATGCTCAAACCAATGATACAGAAATTACTTAACCTACAGTGGTAGACGGTTATATCAATAAAGACGACTTTTTTATTTCAATTTTGAATGTATGACAAGGTTTTTTTTCGAGTTACAAGTTTACTAGTAATCAAAGAGATGCTTTTTTATATTCCAACTTCTCTTGACTATTATGTTTATGTGATACATCCATGCTGTTTAATAGCTTGATATAAAAAAAATTGAAATCGAAAGTCGTCTTTATTGTATTGATATAATCGCCTACCACTGCATATGTAAAATAAAATATAAAATTTTAAAATTAATTAAATATCTTTATTCGTTTTTCATATATATGTTGCGTATAGCCGTACAAACAACCGATATGGGCTGAAATTTTTTTTTGAACACTCATGGGTAACACCCCCCAAAAAAATTCCAAAAATAATGTTTTCTAAAAAAAATTTTTATTTTTTTATTTCTTTTCACGGGCAACGAATTACAGAATTAGCCAAAGTTTGTTTTTATTTTATTTTCCTGGAGAATTGTCACGAAGATTTTGTGTAATGTGCAATTGTCGCAACTAATTTATGTCTAAATACAAATATCGTAGACCACATTTTGAAAATCTCAAGACCAGGTGTTTTCGATATTAGATGTTTAAGCTGGAATACTGTAATAATTGTGTTCATGAAAAAATGCCGCATGGATCGAAGACGATATCACAGTCGTTACTGGATGTTTATTGGGACACCCTGTAGTTCAAAGAAAATTTTAAAAGTCAAGAATCTACTGTTTTCAGTTTCTCAATCTTTTGTACATGATAACTTTAAACCGTAAACCTAACTAAAAAAGGTATATAATATTTGAACTATAACTGGCGGAGTGCAGTAATTAAATTAAATTAAATACAACTTCTCATATTTGATCTGATTACCCAATTTGGATTTGTATTTTGAATCTTGTAACTTTTTTTAAATCCAGGGTTTTCCTATTGTACTGAACCACCATATTGAATCATGGGTGCTTGGTGCCACTAGCTGTTATGTTGTCGTCTTCTTTGTCGAGGTAAATGTCTATCATTGTATATTCTAATTAATATCACTGTTGTCTCTCCTGTTTCTAAAGCAAAAAATCTGCAAATAATTTGTATAGAGAGTCCTAACTTAATAATTACTGCTATTTTTTTGAGAGAGATTTAATCATATCTTATTCACTCTTGACCAGACAACGCATTTAACATTTATAAGAAACCGTTAACAGTTATAAATCTGATGATATGCCACTTTTATAAATTTATGGTAATTAATGGAAGACGACATTAATGTTTAAATTGTAGATTTTGCCTCCGCAGAGCTGTTTCAGTCTTTGCCTACTGTGTGTGTGTGAATTAAGAGAAGTATCTCGTCGTAGTATCCTAGTTCTACTCTGTACTATTCTTCTAACCCAGATACTTTACTCAATACCAATCCTAAAACAAGCTGAGCATAAGGACTTCTATGGCACTCTCCACTGCTTTATCAAGTACGCTTAAGGTTTCCCTCATGTTTGTTATAGTCTCCTTCCTTCCTTCTGACCATGGATCAGTCATGATTAATCATGATCAACCATAGATCCACCATGATAAACCATGGATTAACCGCGTATATCAACTATGGATTTACAGGGGATTAACCATGATCACCATGATCTATCATGGATCCACCATGATCCAACATGATTAACTAAAGATTAACCATGATAAACCATGGATCAACCATGATAAACCATGGATCAACCATGATCAACCATGATCAACCATGATCAACCATGAACAACCATGATCAACCATGATCAACCATGATCAACCGTCCATGATTAACCATGATCAACCATGATCAACCATGATCAACCATGAACAACCATGATCAACCATGATCAACCATGATCAACCACGATCAACCATGATCAACCATGAACAACCATGATCAACCATGATCAACCATGGATCAACCATGAATCAACCATGGATGAACTATGGATCAAACATTGATCAACCATGGATCAACCATGATAAACCATGGATCAACCAAAGATCAACATTTATCAACTATGGATCAAACATTGATCAACCATGAATCAACCCTGATAAACCATAAATCAACCCTGATAAACCATAAATGAACCCTGATAAACCATAAATCAACCCTGATAAACCATAAATCAACCCTGATAAACCATGAATCAACCCTGATAAACCATAAATCAACCCTGATAAACCATAAATCAACCCTGATAAACCATAAATCAACCCTGATAAACCATGAATCAACCCTGATAAACCATAAATCAACCCTGATAAACCATAAATCAACCATCTTATTTTAGTGAGGAATGGAGTAAAGAAATGTCATATACCTCGTATATACTTGTTTATGGAATTATATTTCTCCTTCTTCCGACCATCTTATTCTCTGTGTTAACCTGCATTAATATAAGGTAACAAAGGATTTTTATTTGAATACAAAGAAGAGATATTATATTAATATAAAACATACAACGGTGTCCCAGTTAACATGAAAAATTCTTTCTTTATAGAAAAAATTCATGTTAGAATATTTAATGTCGTTTCATTGAAATATATTGCGGTATTTGTGAAACTAATTTTACAGCTATAATTCTTTCAAAAAAAAATTTCGTATTTTTGGCTATTTTTCTCAGCTTTCAAATGTTTAATCTAGGTTACAGATTTAAGGGAGTGACCGACAATGTATGGTAGTTGAGCTGAGAATGTAGTATTGTGGAGAAATTTTTTAGGATTCATTTGAGACAGTTAAAACGTTTAAATATTGTATAATTACTGAGTTTGAGCGAAAAGTCGACTTTCAAAATCATCCATTTGGGTTGTTGCATTTTGAGAATCGATTCTTTTTTAAAGTACTAGCCTTATAGGGCGCTTCGCGCCCATCTTCTAAGTTAATTGTGAACATGTTCTCTTTGTGTACATCGTAAAACAAAACAAAAAAAATTCGCGGATTTTCACAAAAAATTTCGTGGATTTTCAAAATTTTCAAAAATTTAATGAAGATCGAATTTTGGTGGAGACAAATATTTGAAATTTTGATCATTTATAAACCTTCCCTGTGTTCACGTGATGTCCCACAAAAAATTTGGGCCCGATCGGTTCAGCCGTTTTGACGTTTATTGGATACAAACAAACAGACAGACAAGCCAAATTTATATATAGATTAAATAGCGACGACGAAATATGTATCGAAAATTCTACAGTAAACTAATTAGATGTTTAGGAACATATTTCTCAATAGAAATTTGTCAATAAATAAATGTTAGAATTAATTATTTCGTTTTCATCATTATATTGAATTTCTTATTCTTTATGAATTTGTTAGAAGATTTCTACAAATTTTTAAATGTCGTCTTTTCGAAATAAATTCCAGAAAATCTACAGAAAATGTTTGTGAATAATGAAAGGTTATAGAAACTAATAACTGAAGATTACATGTTTTCGATGATAAAAGTTAATTTTTATTCTCTCAATCTGTTCATAAACAACTTATTAGTTTACTGTAGAATTTTGTTACGTTTTTTTTTCGACTTAATTTAATAATATAAAAAAATTTATTCTCAAAACGTAGCCACCCAAAAGTACGATTTTGAACTTCGACTTTGCGCTCAAGCTTAGTAATTATACATCATTAAAACGTTTTATATGTCTCAAATAAATCCTAAAAATTGTCTCCAAAATACAAAATTCTCGGTTCAACTACCATACATTGCCGGTCACTCCCTTTAAGTACTTATAATTTTTGCAAATGCTTCTGTGCATTTTTGTAATTAGAGGAGTTAAAAGCCAAATATTAAAATATAATTTTGTTTATTTTGAATTTGGTAAAAAAGTTCTAGGATTTAATATTTTAATATTTTTAAAAATAAATTCCAAGGCTGATTATAAAATATGTTTAATCTTGGTTAAGTTTTTGCATGCTGCTAATTCCAGTCTTGATATGTAATCTAGGATTGGGACAAGAAGCAGACAAATCTAGAATATTCTGCAGTATTCTAAATTATGAAATTTAATCTTATTAAAATCATTATGTAAAATCTTTTCAACCGGTTTCTCATGTTAGAGAAAAGCGAAATGCAGTATTACAATGCTTTTTGTTAAAAAATATATAAATATTTTTACATTAAACTAGGCTTTAAAAGGCGTTTTCAAATGTTTAAAAAGACTTTGAAAAAATATCCTTCGGGGTAACCATGAGTTCCGTCAAAAAATGTCATCCAATTTGGTTTAGCCGTTTGGTCTGCTAGCTATAATATAACGAACAAACATATATAATATAATGAGCAATTAGAACACTATTAGAAAAACAGTAAACAGACAATTTAAAAATGGGATTAAACGGATCTGATTACACTCCTCATACTCTAATTTTCTAATTCTTTAATCTTTGCAACCTGAAGAAGTAAAACTCTAATATTTCAATCTTTGAATTCTGGTAGATCAAACAGTCAAAGTTTAACATAAAAAATGTTTACACCATCAGAAGATTCGGGATAAATAAAATAACTTTTCTTGAGGTTTAAATGTTTCCACAACATGGATATCGAGATCAAGTGTTGTAGATTCGCGCTATTCCACACAAAAGTTTGGACTTCACGTTGCCAACATATAGGGATTAGAAAATTAGAGTTCGAGGTGAGTGATTAGTCCTTCGATTTCAAAATTAGATTATTCTTTTTCAGGAGAGGAAAGAAAGACCTGTTCCTGAATATAGTTGTTTTAAGCTTTCTTCTCGCAATCATTCCTCGTCTTGTCGTTGAACTTATCTGGGTATTTGATAAAGAGTAAGTAGGGTTGTTAATCTACTTTATATCTATAAAGGGAGAGACTGGCTGAACATGGTAGTTGAGCTGATAGTGCAGTATTGTAGCGAAATATTTCAGGATTCATTTAAGACATATGAGTTTTTTTTTAGTTTTTACGGTGTATAATTGTTCTGCAAGAGTGCAAATTCAATCCTTAAAATCTTCCCGAATTGTTCATTCTGGAGGGATGATTTTGAGAATTGGGTTTTTAAGAATCATTCAATAACGTTTTTGAAAAAAAAGTAATTTAAAATTCTACAGAACAAAGAATGATGAGCAGTATTGTTATTCTTTGGTCTTGAAAAAGAATGAGTAGGATTGTTATTCTTTGGTCTTGAACAAAGATTAAGTAGGATTATTATTCTCTGGTCTTGAACAAAGATTAAGTAGGATTATTATTATCTAGTCTTGAACAAAGATTGGGTAGGATTATTATTCTCTGGTCTTGAACAAAGAGGGAGTGGGATTATTATTCTCTAGTCTTGAACAAAGATTGAGTAGGATTGTTATTCTCTGGTCTTGAACAAAGATTAAGTAGGATTATTATTATCTAGTCTTGAACAAAGATTGGATAGGATTATTATTCTCAAGTCTTCAAAAAAGAGTTAGTAGGATTATTATTCTCTAATTTTGAACAAAGATTGGGTAGGATTATTATTCTCTAGTCTTGATAAAGATTGAGGATGATTATCATCTAGTCTTGAACAAAGATTGAGAATTATTATTCTCTAATCTTATCTTGAACAAAGATTGAGTAGGATTATTACTCTTTGGTCTTGAGCAAAGATTGGGTAGGATTATTATTATCTAGTCTTGAACAAACATTGAGTGGGATTATTATTCTCTGGTCTTGAACAAAGATTGGGTAGGATTATTATTCTCCAGTCTTGTACAAACATTGAGTGGGATTATTATTCTCTGGTCTTGAACAAAGATTGGGTAGGATTATTATTCTCTGGTCTTGAACAAAGATTGAGTGGGATTATTATTATCTAGTTTTGAACAAAGATTGAGTGGGATTATTATTATCTAGTTTTGAACAAAGATTAAGTAGGATTATTATTATCTAGTCTTGAACAAAGATTAAGTGGGATTATTATTCTCTGGTCTTGAACAAAGATTGGGTAGGATTATTATTCTCCAGTCTTTTACAAACATTGAGTGGGATTATTATTCTCTGGTCTTGAACAAAGATTGGGTAGGATTATTATTATCTATTCTTGTACAAACATTGAGTGGGATTATTATTATCTAGTCTTGAACAAACATTGAGTGGGATTATTATTCTCTGGTCTTGAACAAAGATTGGGTAGGATTATTATTCTCCAGTCTTGTACAAAGATTGAGTGGGATTATTATTATCCAGTCTTGTACAAACATTGAGTGGGATTATTATTCTCTGGTCTTGAACAAACATTGAGTGGGATTATTATTCTCTGGTCTTGAACAAAGAATTTGGGTTCTAAAAAACAGAAAATATTTGCTTTTTACAAAATGATTATAAATCTTCTTTGTTACTTGGCTAAAATTACCGATGATATCCATCATTCGCATAATTTGTTTTTTTTCTTTTAATTAAAGTATTTTACTTGAAACTCTGTGTGAAATCCAGTATTCTAATCAGTCTCTGTTGTATGCAATAAGATTTCTAGAAAAAACCAGACTTTGGAACTAATTGAAGATAATGCTTAGGTTTTAAAAAATGTAATCAATCTAACAAAGTCTAATTGTACTTTCCAATGTCCGGTATACTTCCCTATATCCAGTATACTTCTCTATATTCAGTATACTTTTTTATATACAGGATACTTTCCAATATTCAGTATACTTTCTTATATACAGTATACTTTCCAATATTCAGTATACTTTCCAATATTCAGTATACTTCCCTATATCCAGTATACTTCTCTATATTCAGTATACTTTTTTATATACAGGATACTTTCCAATATTCAGTATACTTCTCTTTATCCAGTATACTTTCTTTTATCCAGTATACTTTCTTTTATCCAGTATACTTCCCTATATCCAATATACTTCCTTATATCCAGTATACTTCCTTATATCCAATATATTTCTCTATATCTAGTATACTATATCCAGTATATTTCGCTTATCCGCTCAAGCTTACTTATATCCCGTAAAGGAACTCATACACCCCTCAAACTCTAGTTTTTTAATTCTTAAATCTTTAAACCTAATCATGTAAAATTGTAAACTTTAATATTTCAAATATCTACTGCTTACGACATCAGTGTCCGAATTTAATTAATTTAAGCCGCGTCTCGAATCACCCAAAAACCGGTTTCAATAGAGCGTCTGCTTAACCTGGAAAAACTTAATACAATTTTAAGTGGAACCAAACGTATTTGAGCCGTGGTTTAGATTTAAGCCGCTGCTCAAATTCTTTAAATTCGGCCTCAGGTTAAAAAAATATAAGCATTAAAACAGTTCAAGGGTAGAAATCAGTGCCTTTATAGGGTTTAAGTGCAGTATTTCATGAATATTTGGCCTTGTACAGAATTAAACTTATATCTGTTTAGTGAAGTTTTCAAGATTGCAGTATTGAAAACAGTTTGTTTATGTTTATCTAGTTCGTATTGAAGGTGCTTGTTCCAGAATAAATATGAATATTATGTTACAGGCAACTGCATTGTGGGACAATTCAAGGCTAAACGCAATCTATAATGCACTTACCCTCCATCCCTCTAATATTTGATAAATTTACAACTTTTATAAATAAATGTAGATACTGCAGCTTTTGTAATACTAAAAGCTAAACCAAAGCAGCACTGAGTTTGTTTTGATTACTCCCAGAAACTAGAGTATCTACACCACAATTGTGTAAAACATTATTTTGTCTTTTTGATATTTTTACTCAGTGCTGCTTACTGCTCAGAACAAAGCTTAGCCTAAGCAGAACAGTTTTTGTTTTAATTCTGCCCCAAAATGGCAGTACTTTGTATTTGTAAACAAAACTATGTAGAAGTTTCTTAGACTGTGCTTTGTTTATATTCTTACCAAAAACTGCAGTACACATTATGTAAACAAAGATAACTTCCTTAGTTTTATTAGATATAAGGATTCCCGGTGTATCTTCCTTGGTTTTAATAGATAAGAAGGTTCCTGTTGTATCTACCTTAGTTTTTAAGATAAGAGGGTTCCTGTTGTACCTACCTTTGTTTATTAGCTAAGAGGGTTCCTGATGTATCTTCCTTGAATTTATTAGATAAGAGGGTTCCTGGTGTAACTTCCTTAGTTTTATCATAGAAGAAGGTTCTTGTTATATCTTTCTTGGTTTATTAGATAAGAGGGTTCCTACTCTCACTTCCTTGATGTTATTAGATAAGAAGGTTCCAGTTATATCTTCCTTGGTTCACTAGATGAGAGAGTTCCCGGTGTATCTTCCTTGGTTTTATTAGATAAGAGGGTTCCTTTCCTAATGTATCTTTCTAGGTTTTTTAGAAAAGATGGTTCTAAATATATGTATTTTCCTTGGTCATGTTAGAAAATAGGGTTCCTGGTGTATATTCCTTGGTTTTATTAGATTAGAGGGTTCCCAATGTATTTTACTTGGTTTTATTAGGAAAGAGGTTTCCTGATGTATCTTCCTTGGATTTGCTGGATAATGCAAACATCTGCCAATCTTCTTCCATGATGTTCTTTTATTCGCTTTTAATATTAAAAATTTATTATTTTAGTCTAGCTGGGTTCCATCAGCTCTGGATACCTGTTCACTATTTATCCATTTATAGACTCTGCACTATTCCTCCTCTTCTCCTTCTTAACCCTTCTGTTCTAGCCAGGTCAATTATTATTATTATGATTATTATCATTATTATCATTATTATTTTTATTATTACTGTTATCAATTTTTATCATTGTGATTAACTACTCCAGGTATAAGGGTCTCCTAGGAAGAGAAGGGTTCAGGTACAGATATTGTACAGAAAACCAGACCCTGGTCCCTCTACCCTCGGAGCTAAACCCTGAACCTGAACCTAAACCTGTCCTGGAGCAGGATTGTGGTAACCAGGAGGAATCTGAACCTGTTCAAGTGTTGAAAACTGAACCCCGACCGTCAGATCAGCTTATCTCCATTGATCAATGAAAACTTTTCTGGTTCAAATATTTTGTGATGATCAATATCAAATTAAATCATAACTAAATAAAACTCCATCTTCAACACTTAAGTCTCATGTTGTGAGAAGAACCATGTATATCCAGGGGTGGTCAGAAAACCCCAAGAAATCCGTATTTTTTGCTGATCCAGGGAAGGGACTCCCCTCTACGCCTCTGTTTCTTTAGTTTATGTTCATTTGTATCCGACCTATATTATTTAAGATTCACAATGGATTAAAACCTAAGTCTGGAAAGCTAAATACTCTCTGAACTGTCTCATGTATTTATAGTTGTATGAATGCATGCACTATGTAGACGTTATTTTAGAATGATCTTTTAGCACCGATTAACCTATAAAATTTCCTGTACTATATTTAATGCAATGAGTCTGACTCATGACGAAGGACCAAGGTTGGATAGATAGATTTCAGAATATAGATGGGATTGTTTGTTGTCTGTTAGAAAAGGTTTGTTGTCTGTTAGAAAAGGTTTGTTGTCTGTTAGACAAGGTTTGTTGTCTGTTAGACAAGGTTTTTTGTCTGTTAGACAAGGTTTGTTGTATGCCAGACAAGGTTTGTTGTATGCTAGACAAGGTTTGTTGTCTGCAAGACAAGGTTTGGTGTCTGCTTGACAAGGTTTGTTGTCTGCTTGACAAGGTTTGTTGTCTGCTTGACAAGGTTTTTTGTCTGCTTGACAAGGTTTGTTGTATGCTAGACAAGATTTGGTGTCATCTCGACAAGGTTTGTTATCTGCTAGACAAGGTTTGTTATCTGCTAGACAAGGTTTGTTATCTGCTAGACAAGGTTTGTTGTCTGCTTGACAAGGTTTGTTGTCTGGTAGACAAGGTTTGTTGTCTGTTAGACAAGGTTTGTTTGCTGCTTGAAAAGTATTTTTGTCTGTTAGACAAGGTTTGTTGTATTTTAGAAAAGGTTTGTTGTCTGCTTGACAAGGTTTGTTGTCTACTTGACAAGGTTTGTTGTATGCTAGACAAGGTTTGTTGTCTGCTTGACAAGATCTGTTGTATGCTAGACAAGGTTTGTTGTCTGCTTGACAAGGTTTGTTGTATGCTAGACAAGGTTTGTTGTCTGCTTGACAAGGTTTGTTATCTGCTTGACAAGGTTTGTTGTCTGCTTGACAAGGTTTGTTGTATGCTAGATAAGGTTTATTGTATGCTAGACAAGGTTTGTTGTATGCTAGACAAGGTTTGTTGTATGCTAGACAAGTTTGTTGTCTGCTTGACAAGGTTTGTTATCTGCTTGACAAGGTTTGTTGTATGCTAGACAAGGTTTGTTGTCTGCTTGACAAGGTTTGTTATCTGGTTGACAAGGTTTGTTATTTGCTTGACAAGGTTTGTTGTATGCTTGACAAGGTTTGTTGTATGCTAGACAAGGTTTGTTATCTGCTAGACAATGTTTATTGTATGCTAGACAAGGTTTGTTGTCTGCTTGACAAGGTTTGTTGTATGCTAGACAAGGTTTGTTGTCTGCTTGACAAGGTTTGTTTTATGCCAGACAAGGTTTGTTGTCTGCTAGACAAGGTTTGTTGTCTGCTTGACAAGGTTTGTTATCTGCTAGACAAGGTGTGCTGTATGCTAGACAAGGTTTGTTGTATGCTAGACAAGGTTTGTTGTCTGATTGACAAGGTTTGTTATCTGCTTGACAAGTTTTGTTGTTTGCTTGACAAGGTTTGTTGTATGCTAGACAAGGTTTGGTGTCTGCTAGACAAGGTTCGTTGTCATCTCGACAAGGTTTGTTATCTGCTAGACAAGGTTTTTTGTCTGCTTGACAAGGTTTGTTGTCTGTTAGACAAGGTTTGTTGGCTGCTTGAAAAGTATTTTTGTCTGTTAGACAAGGTTTGTTGTATTTTAGAAAAGGTTTGTTGTCTGCTTGACAAGGTTTGTTGTAGGGGGCTATAGGGCCCATAAAGATTTTATGAGCAGGCAATAATTTGGATTTATTTTCATGTGGTGTAATTATAAGATTAGGAAATCTAAAAACTGATTTTCAAATTCGATTATCAAATATATTTTTTGTGCCCAGGGAGCCCAGGACACAGAATTCAGAATCGAAATACGCACTTTTATAATAATTTTAGCATTTTAAATACCAATCAATCTTTTTTCTTCGTCCTAATCCTTTACGCTTCTTCCTCCTCATCCTTCCCTCTTATCCTCCTCATCTTTCCTTTTTTTTATTGTCTTCTTCCATCTTCTTCCTTGTCAATCTTTTTTCTTCTTCCTTGTCATCCTTCCTTCTTCTCCTTCATCCTCTTCTTCTTCCCCTCTTCTTCCTTCTCATTCTTCGATCTTCTCCCTTTTCAACCTTTCCTCTTCTTCCTCTTCGTCCTTTCCTCTTCTTCCTTCTAGGCTTCCCTCTTCTTCCTTCTCATCCTTCCCTCTTTTTCCTACTCATCCTTACCTCTTCTTCCTTGCCATTCTTACCTATTCTTCCTACTCATCCCTATTTCTTCTCCTGATTGCCATTCATCCAATAGTAATCCTTCCATATTCTCTTTTGTAATTCTAACCTCTTTCCTTTCTTAATTTCTTTTTTTTTGGTCATACATTCTCCCTCTGTTTATCATTTTTTCACTTGTCGTCGCTACCACTACTCCCTTGTCATCTTCCCCATCTTCTTGCCCTCCTCTCATCTTATTCCTTGTCATCCGACCCTTATCTTTCTTGTAAATATTTCTTTTCATCCTTCTACTTCCGTATCCTCCTTCCTTCTATTTCCTTATCTTTCTTCTACTTCCTTATCTTCCTTCCTTCTATTTCCTTATCTTCCTCCCTTCTACTTCCTTATCTTTCTATCTTCTACTTCCTTATCTTCCTTCCTTCTATTTTCTTATCTTCCTCCCTTCTACTTCCTTATCTTCCTCCCTTCTACTTCCTTATCTTCCTTCCTTATACTTCCTTATCTTTCTATCTTCTACTTCCTTATCTACCTTCCTTCTATTTCCTTATCTTCCTTCCTTCTACTTCCTTATCTTCCATCCTTCTACCTACTTATCTTCCTTCCTTCTACTTCCTTATGTTCTTTCCTTCTATTTCCTTATCTTACTTCCTTCTACATCCTTATCTGCCTTCCTTCTACTTCCTTATCTTCCATCCTTCTACCTACTTATCTTCCTTCTACTTCTTTATCTTCCTTCCTTCTACTTCCTTATCTTCCTTCTACTTCCTTATCTTTCTTTCTTCTACGTAATGGTATTTCTTTCTTTAAGTTCCTTATCTTCTTTTCTATTCTTCCTTCCACTCTCTTGTAATGTTTCCTTTACTTCTTTCTCATTGTAAGGAGAGGGGGTATTATCTATAGCCCCCCCCTTTTAAAGTCAAGCCCCTCCCCCCCTCTTAAGGTCATGTATAAAAGTAGGCTAATCCTGCCGATTGTAAATAGATAGTTTTCATCTAGGCTGACTAGTGTCTACAGTGTAAAATCTAACAAATGTTTGACAGTTGACACTTTCATAGTATTTCAATTTTAATTGGCAAATAGGTCGTAAACACACTTTTATTGGCAAAAATAAAACAGGTTCCAGGAAACAAATTCCTGTAAATTTTGTAAATTTTAAACTTTTTATTCTAGTTTTTGACCGCCTTCCTTGAACCTCCTTCAGCATCTTTCAGGGATTTATATTTTATTTCAAATTAATTTTTTTTTCTCCCCCTCGTTATCCCCATATCCTCAAAATGATATATATCCCTAACATGAAAGGGAGTTTATACGCATAGCTTCAATTTGATTTAGAGGAAAGGGTACAAAACAAAGACAAAAATCTGCTTGATAAAATCCCTTTTTATTACATTTTATTATTATATTTAAAGTTTATATGCATTCTGTCGACATGCTTTACATTTAAGGCCTTTTTCTGAAAGGGGGTTACTGGATGCCTCTTATCCTCGGGATTTAACTATCTTCAGATTCTCAAGCCTTTTTACTTCTAGTGTAAGATTGAATCGAAAGAAATGAATCTTTGCCACAAACTCTAGTTTTCTTATACCTATTTCTTTGCGATGCAATGTCGTAGACCTTTGTTATTTTTATGACTTCTGTTAGATAGAAAATCTATGGTTAACACCATTAGGCTGCAGTAGATATTAGTTTGTGGGAAAGACTCAATAGTCAATTCCTTTCCAAGTTAACTTTTCCAAAAATCGTCCAAATATGCTCAAAAATCATGTGGGCATAGTTGAAGTTCATCATTACAATTTTATCTTTATTTAATTGATCTAAATTTTCAAATAAAAAGCGAAGGTATTTCAATCATGTGCTTGGACAAAGGTTTCAAGGGATACTGGGTGTAAAGTATTTATTCAAAACATATCTACTTGATTTATCAATTTTATCAATCAAATTTTATTTGTTTGAAAAAGTCCTGCCGTAAAACCCTCACATCCCTGAAACTATTCCGCATATGATGTCCTAATTTTCAAAGAAAAATGCTTAGAAATTTTGATTGATCCGCATTCAACATCCTTAAAAGTAATCTTATTTATATAACTAATATAACTGAAAGAAAATCAATTACTTCTCCCCTTGACCCCCTCCCCCT